CTTAAGATAACTTGAGTCGTGATAGCCAGCATGATATCCACCGCACTGCCATGGAGGAGGCTCTCCTTACGTATATACATACAAGTGCCTCATAGGCACAGATGTAACCTTCTTGATGTTCCGGCTGCTTCATCTTTCGATCATCGAGTCTCCCCCCTACGCTCTTTTGTGACTTCCCTCCGTTTACTAACCACGTTTGTTCATTCCACAATCTCGTTTTCATAATGCGCTCAACCGGCCTGCTTTCATGCCTCGCCGTGCTCGCCGTGAGCAACGGGGCCCTAATCTTTCCCCGGCGGGGTGGATGGGAAGATCCGGTACCCGTTAGACACCGGCTCCGCGCCAGACAGGAACCCGCGTCCAGCACAAAGACACCGGTGACCAGCAGCATCTCTCTAGGTCCCTCACCTACCCCGACCCAAGACCCGACGACCACGGTCCTACTTTCCGGGTCTCTGCCCACTACCTCCGCCTCGGGGGTCACCAGTTCCACTATGGTGTCGCTGACATCCTCGACCTCCACCTCTTCGGCCTCGGCCTCGTCGACTGCCAGTACCGTTCCGTGCCAGCGACGCAGACGTCGCCGGAGGGACGATAACGACGAGGACGACGAGGAGGAGGACAAGTTGGACTGCCAAGCGACCTCCACGGCGCCGCCTGCCCAGACGTCTACCTCCGCCGCCACATCTACGTCAGCCACAGAGCCAACCTCAGAGTCGTCTGCACCGGCCCCTACCACAACCTCTACAACAACAGCAGCCCAGACGTCTACCTCTGTCACAACCTCTACGACAACAGCAACCCAGACGTCTACCTCTGTCACAACCTCTACGACAACAGCAGCCCAGACGTCTACCTCTGTCACAACATCTACGACAACAGCAGCCCAGACGTCTACCTCTGTCACAACCTCTACAACAACAGCAGCCCAGACGTCTACCTCTGTCACAACCTCTACGACAACAGCAACCCAGACGTCTACCTCTGTCAAAACCTCTACGACAACAGCAGCCCAGACGTCTACCTCTGTCACAACCTCTACGACAACAGCAGCCCAGACGTCTACCTCTGTCACAACATCTATGTCAACTACCCAGACGTCTACCTCTGTCACAACATCTACGTCAACTACCCAGACGTCTACCTCTGTCACAACATCTACGTCAACTACCCAGACGTCTACCTCTGTCACAACATCTACGTCAACTACCCAGACGTCTACCTCTGTCACAACATCTACGACATCCGCGCAGCCTCCAGTCTTTTCGACCCTGCCCGCCAAGCCCATCTGGCCCATTGACACAGCAGGAGGGTTCCACAAGGTCTACGAGGGGGACAAGGTTGGCAGCGTTGGCTACTACGCCAGATCGGACAGCGCGAGCGAGGGCGTCACGGGAAACTACCACCATTGGTGCGTGGACAAGTGCGCCGGTAAGTGACAACCCCTCCACGCTCCCAGCAAAAAGTATCTACGTGGCCCCTGCATGGGTGCCCGGAAAACACGAGAACCAAAGAAGAGACACAAAAGAATCCTAGACACTGACTTTTGTATGACACGAATTTTAGCGGACAAACAATGCAAATCAGTATTCATCTACAGGGTACTCACGACCAACGGCTCTACGTACCAACAAAATTTCTTCTGCGACCAGTATGTGTTAAACCCAAGGAGGAGGGGGGGGGGGCGAAACCCGCGTCCCGCGAAGAGTCGACCGCTAACGAAAGATTTACCCAGGTTCAACTTGATGTGGGCGGAGAATGATCTGCAGAAGGGCGTCGACGTCAACGATGCAGGTGTTGCATTCTCGTAAGTCATCTCCCACCGGATCGATCCCATTTGCCGATGAGAGCTGGATTCTAATGCTATAAGCAGTAAGGATAGTAAGGCCTAGTATAGCCCGATAGCATGCCGATCCCCTCCCCCATTTCCTTTTCTGTTTACACGAAGCGTACGAAATACCATAATGTTAAGAAAGTTAGGCTCAGGAGCAGTGGTGTTCGGGTGAAGGATAACGAATATTGTTTCACCCTTGGCTTCGGCGTGCCCTTTTTTTCTTTCTGTTCTTTTTTTGTCTGCTAGCTACAGACTTTGCGAGATGTTCTGCTCAAGGCAACATTGGCCTGTAAATTTATGTTACGCAAATACCACGCCATCAATGACTGGCAGTAATTAACGCCTTAATATATCTCACGCGACAACTTGTCCAACATCAGTAGCCAAAGTAATTTACACCCCTCCCTCCCCTTTGAAACCGGCGAGCTTTGGAAAACAGCTTCTTAGACGCCGAAGCACATGCCGCATAAACGGAGCACGTCACAAGAGCCTCACATCTGGAAGCTCACGCTTTCGGCCCTGTTGCGTGCCACCCATCATGTCTTGCACCCATCCGATATGTAAATATATAGCATAGCAGCCATACACAGCTCTACGGCATTTTCCTAGATTCAGGAATCTTTTTACCCTACTTCTCCTGCGCCCTACCGTCTGCTCTAACCCGTGACAAAATAGGTGTATTTGTTCGCCAATCGCATCGACCTGATGCCATTCCTATACGCCGTTTTGCTATATGCAATGCTCGTAATATGCACCCTGATCCCAATAGGGGCTGTATAATCCAAAGCTCGACCCATCTGGGACGCCGCCCCCCCAAACGCCGCTCAGCCCTGCCAGACGACAACAGGCACAATGCTTACGCTCAAAAGTAAAAGCCGCCTCCCCATCGCCCGCGAACCTCTTTCACGTCTCCGTTTCCATCTCCAGGTCCGGATCGACCTCGGTCCCCAGGTCCCTGTCCTCCAGGAACCGCCGCCCGACGAGCTCGTCCGGCAGGTACTCCTGGCGGACCCTGCCACCCCTGTAGTTGGGCGGGTACTTGTACTCGGCGCCGTAGCCCATCTCGCGCATTAGCCGCGTCGGCGCGTTGCGCAGGTGCAGCGGGACCGGCAGGGCCGCGACGCCGGGCTCCCGCAGCGCGGCGTAGGCGTTGTTCAGCCCGCGGTAGGCCCGGGTGCTCTTGGGCGCGAGGCTCAGCGCGACGGCGCAGTGGGCCAGCGGGATCCGGGCCTCGGGCATGCCGATCTGCTGCGCGGCCGTGTAGGCGGCCGTCGCGAGCGGCAGGAGCGTGTTGTCGGCGAGACCGACGTCCTCAGAGGCGATGACGACCATGCGGCGCGCGACGAAGAGCGGGTCCTCGCCCGACTGCAGCATGCGCGCGAGATAGTAGAGCGCGGCGTCCGGGTCGGAGCCGCGGACGGCCTTGTGGAAGGCCGAGATGGTGTCGTAGTGCTGGTCGCCTGCGCGGTCGTACACGAGGGTCTTGGTCAGCGACGCCTTGATGTCCTCCTTGGTGGCCTCCGGCCGCGTCGAGAGTGACAGCGCAAGCTCGAGCAGGTTCAGTGCCGTGCGGGCGTCGCCGTCCGAGAAGGCGGCGAGGTACGTCACGAGCTCGCCGTCGACGAGCGGGCTCCCCGGGTAGTTGCCGACCCGTGTCTCCTCGCTGATGGCGCGCAGCAGGATGCGCGCCACGTCCTCGTTGGCGAGCTTGGACAGCGTGAAGGTCCGGCAGCGAGACAGCAGCGCCTGCTGCACGCGGAAGCTGGGGTTCTCCGTCGTCGCGCCGATGAGGGTGATGGTGCCGGCCTCGACGGGCTTAAGGAAGACGTCCTGCTGCGACTTGGAGAAGCGGTGGATCTCGTCGCAGAAGATGATGGTCTTACGCCCCGTCAGCGCCAACTCGTTGGCGGCCTCGGCGAACAGCTTCTTGCACTCGGCGACGCCCGACGAGGTGGCGTTCATCTCGATGAAGCGCGAGCCGACGCTCTGCGCGATGCAGCGCGCGATGGTCGTCTTGCCCGTGCCGGAGCCGCCCCAGAGGATCATGGAGGGCACGCGGTCCGACTCGATGAGGGAGCGCAGCACGCCATGGGGGCCGACGAGGTCCTGGCCACAGACCTCGTCGAGGGTCCTGGGCCGCATGCGCTCGGCGAGGGGCGCGGCGCGGGCCGTCTTTGCGCGCTTCGCCACGGGACCGGTCTCGGGCTGCTGCTGCTGCTGTTGCTCGGCCGCGTCGCTGTCCGTGTCGGCGGTATTGGCCATGGCGAAAGGGGAGGGCTCGGCGCCGGGGCCGTCGTCATAGCTGCGTTTCACGCCAGCCGTCGGGCGGGTCGTACCGCCTCCGTTGGCGGGGGTGGTGAGGACCTTGGTCGGAGGGGCATGGCGCTTCGCAGAAGGGGTCTGGAAGAAGGAGGAGGCTGGGCGCTTGGCCTGGGACGAAGAGAGCTTCGAACTACCGTTGGCCTGGGTCGCTGCGGGAGGGGACGAGGTGCGCTCGGGGTTGAAGATGTGGCTCTCGCAGCCCGAGTCGATGTGGGAGTTGATTAGCGCCTCCTTGACGGGCTTGTTGCAGATGGGGCAGTCGACTGCTGCCATTCTGACGGTACACCGAGAGGATTGAGACGCATGCAAAAGAGCTGTAGAGCCGTTGTTGACCGTTACCGGGAACGAATCTTTCCGGATTCGTTGGCCGTTTTGGTCGGGTCGCGTGGTGCCTCGGGAGGGAATGAGTTCGAATCCAGGCCGGGGGAGACGAGACGCGCTTTGGGGGGTTTTTTTCTAAGTGCTAATGACGCGACTATCAATTGAGTCGAGCTCAGCTGAGCTACTATACGTACGTACTGTGCTAGTCCTGAATTTCTAGCGGGGAACTGGGATGCGTCGATCCGCACCAGCCGGCGGGACGTGTCTGCCACTGGCGGGGGAGGAACAGGGTCTCCGGCACTCGGGTTCGGAGATACGCTGCGCCGCCACTCTTGGGGATCAAGGCGACGGAAATCATAATGATCAGTGGCATGATTAAAGTATTGCTCTTTCAAACGATGAGATTATTGTTCCACGCCCGGTTTGGGTGAACCGGGTCTTTTTTTCGTAGGTATCATTACACCGGAAAAACGCCTGCCAATGCCCTTTGTCCCAACTTTGCTGCTCAGGTACGAGCGTGTGATATACATTACGCCCCGGCGTGAGAAAAAAAATGCGATGCCAATGCCGTCTGCCGAATCCCGTCCTTTCTATGCTACAGACGGCTGGTCTCTGAGCCGCGTGTAAGACGAGGCCGTTGAGCTCAACGGCAAGAATAGTAAGTGCATCCTCGAGCTGGCTGTCTGTTGCAGCGAGGCTCCTCGCCCACCAGTTATATTACACCTCAAACCATGAAGGACTCGCCACACCCACACTGCTCCTCTGTTTGAACGTCAGCAAAAGAAGAAAAAAAGCTCGTCACAAAACAAGCAGCCTAAGAAGGGCCGCGTGGGAAACTCACTGATGTTAGGGTTCTTGAACACGAACCGCTGGTTGAGCTTGTCTTCGACCCAGTCCATCTCGCTGCCGATGATGCTGAACAGCGCCTTGCTGTCGATCAGCACCTTGACGCCGTCCTGCACTACCTCCTCGTCGAAGCTGCCGGGCTTGTCGACGTACTCGAGGTGGTAGGCCAAGCCCGAGCAGCCCCTATTGCGCACGCTGACCTTGATCAGCTTCGGCTCCGGCTGATCCAGTAGCGCGCGCAGCTGCTTCACGGCCGCAGGCGACAGCTTCATCGCGGCCTTGCGGGCGCGGAGCTTGCGCTGCGGGCGCCCCGTCGGCTTGGGGGTTTGGGCCGCCTGTTCCGACACCTTGGGCGCGGGGGCCGCGGCGTCGGCTGTTTGTGCCGACGATGTCGCCGACGCCTCCGAGGTCGCCTGGGATGTGTTTGCCGTCGTTTGCGCTGTCGAGGACTGCTGCTGGGGTGCCATCTGCGAAGGGATCTTGGGGGGTCTTGTTTCGTTCACCTTCGGGAGGGGATCCGGCGTAGCGATCGAGGTCTCGGGGATGCCGTCGCCTCTTGCAGGAGGCGGCGTGTTGTTGTTCGAGTAGAGGGGATAGGACTGGAAGGACGGGCTGCCGTAGGCGCGGCGGGGGGCAGCGCATTGCAGCGCTGCGCAGGAGCGGCGGAATGCCACCCTGCTGAATATCCTCGGAGCGTTCATTTTGGGGGGGCGGGTGATATGGATATGTGCGTTGCAGTAGCAAAATGACGGGGTGTCGCTTCAAACGGGTATCCTGGTCTCGTTTCTATGTCCAGGTGTTGACGTCGGAGGGGTGTTTAAAAAGTGAGGGCTCGATCGTCCGACGGTGACGAGACAATCAGTTGGGAACTGCAGGTCGGAGGAGGTTTTTGCCGTCAATCGGGATTGGTAATGGAAGCCAGAAGCTGGGTCCAGCCCAGGGGGGGGGCGTCATTTGACAGTTTTCTGGCCCGTGGCGCGGCTATGACATGCCCAGCGGTTTCCACTGTACAGGGTGCTCTATGGCCAATCATGCGCCGCTAATTTGTCAACGGCCCTATGGCATCGATGACAAAGCAGCCCTTGGACTTTCAGCAATGCCTTGCTTCATAACCAAAGACTGTCGGAAGACTTATTCATCTTCATGCATCGTATCCCTTTTGCCAAGTAACACGACTCTTTTCTTTCCCTTTGAAGAGTCGGGACCGGACCGAGCACGCTCGAGCTCAATCTTCTTTCGGACTCTGAAGCGACACCATACGAGACAAACCTAGAAGGCTGACAGAAAGATGTCGAGAGTTGGGGGTCATGCAACCGTTTCGAATCTCTTTGAGCTGAGTCGCTGTTGAAGCGTTCCGATGTCTCCTCCATCGTCAGTGATGCCCTGCCTTCACCTCAATGTGGGCAACAGTCGCCGTCGACTCAGTCCCTCGAGCCGACGCAGCCAGCATATCCGATCCGCATGGCTCATGAGGATCATTTCGGGTGTCATTAACATCATACACTCTACTTTCTCACCAGCCTTCACCACCCCTCTCCCCATTCTCATCTCTCAACCAACTCCCTTACATCGACAACGGCCGCTCTTGCCATCTTCTTCAGCAACGTCCTCTCGTCCGCCTCGCGATATCGATCCCACGTGTCGAGGCCCTCCTTGGCCTGTATGCTCAGCGTCTCGTACCCCTGCTTGATTACCTCTGTCACCTGGATGCTCGTGAGATTCCCCTTCTTCTTCCCGTTCTCCGCCAACAGCTCCTTGTAGTGCGTGCTCACGTTGATGAGCGTGTCGATCGAGTTGCTCGGGCGCTTGCCGAGCTGGTAGCTGTCCTTGAATTTGATGAGCACGTCGCCCGCCTCGACTACCTTGTAGAATAGGTCGTCGTATGCTGCCGGTGACGGCAAGAAACCTTCACCCGCTGAGAGGGACAGGGCGAGAAGATTGACAACGTTGTCTAGCAGCAAATCGATTTGCGAGAGGCCCTTCAGGTCCGCGACATACGTCGTCAAGAATTTGACCAGGTTTAGCAGGGCCCGGAACAGATCCGCCCAGTGGTGATCCAGCCGTGTGCGGGATCGGGATAGATACGAAACGACGCGGAGCAAGATCCCCACGCACAGCGTGTATAGCTCTACATCTAGCCTGCGACGTAGGTTATGTGTGATTCCGTCCACCATCGTATCCAGCACCGCCGTCGCCAAAATACGTTCTCCTGTGACCAGTGGGAGGAACGGTTGTCTTTGGCGGCACAGGCGCACGCGCCCCTTGGATTCTCCGCTGCATATCCGCTTGCAGAGCACGGGGTCCTCGATCATTAGCCGGAAAACCATGAGGTTGAGATGGGAGTAGTGCGTTGTGCGCTCCGAGAGGTGCGCGTGCTGGAGGAGGTAGGATGTGAGTGACGTGAAAGCCGCCAGAGGTTGTTCGCCGCCCTTTTCGGCGGGGAGCGTAGCTAGGTTGAAGCAGAAGAGCTTGTTGGCGTGAGTGAAGTCATATGTTGCCAGCAACACTGCCGCCTCTTCGCCGGGCCTCATCATCGTGTAAGTTTCTTGTCTGATGTTGCTCTCTGGGTTGCGGCACTCACAGTTTGGTAAACATTTGCTTCATCGTCTCGGCGTCATAAACAGCCTTCTTCTCCGGCCTGGGACCCCTTGCGACGACTCCGAGCCCGATCATGCGCAGCGTGCCGTTGAGCGTCCAGCCCTCGGGCAGGTCGTCCTGCACCTCTACATATTGCGTCGTAAGATGCTGGCATGTCTCCCCAATGCACCGTATGATCTTCTTGATTGTCCCTTCGTTGACGAAGTCATTCAGTCGCATCTGATACGGGTTCTGGAACTCAAACTTGTTGTAGTTGGCCAGGAGGCCAAGGAGGGTGAAAGGGCTGAGGATACGTTCCGTTGTGTCGGTTTCTTGGATGAACTGCGGCTGGCGTCAGAATGGTTCCTATTATGCCGTCGAGAACAGGTTGACTTACCTTCATCACCGCAGGGAAGAGGTCCCTCTGGATCAAGTACGTCAAGAGACTCGTCTGGTATGCGCCTGCCGTCACGGCCAACACAACCTCGACAGCCTTTTGTCGCAAGTCCACTGCCACCAGTCAGAAACATGCCTCCGCGCTTGTATAAGTTCCCTGGGCCTTACAGCTCTTCCCACCCCGGATGATCTGGTCCAGCGCCCCCACAAAGTCTGTAAAGATGGTATCAATGTAGTCGATGCCTGCCAGAACGTTGATGATGTCCGAGCTAGGATGCGCATACTTCTTGGACAGTGTCGAGCAGAGAAACACGCTAAGAGTCTACGATTTTGTTGAGCACACGTCAGCGACCGCAGCAGCATCTAGGTTCGACCTTCCTCGGCACCGATAAAGCTTAGGGGTAAACGGCGGGGCCAGACTCACATCAAGCGCATGCAAATCCGCAACACCCTGGCCGCTTTTCACGGCGGCCACGGCTCGCGCAAAGAATTCTCTCGTGTGCTCCTCCAACGCAAGTATGGCTGCGGGCCCGAGGCCATCAAGGATTCGCCTCAGGGCGGCGCGGTCGGGTCGGAGAAGGAAGAATTCCCGCCAGAAACCCTCAGAGCGTTCATAATCATCATCGTCGTCCTAGATATAAGGGGGAATGGGTGTCAGCGGAAAGGTACGGACTGCGTCGCAAGCCACAGGCTGGGCGAAACCGGGCGGCATGGTACTGGCGGGCCGAGTCGAGGATCGTCAGGGGAAGCATTTGTCGGCAGCGTCGGGGTCGCAAGGCTCGTGGGTAGGGGAGCGTGAATGAACTGAACGCACCTGACAATTGCAACATTAGCTGAAGTGTTCAATTAAGGTCGCACCGGTCGCCTCGGCCGCCATGTTGAGTGTTGCAGGCACGAGGGGGGTCTTTCGCACCTTGAACAGCGACTCGTACAGCTCGACGATCTTGGGTTTGAACACCTCGGGCGGGAGCTGACGGGTCAGCGGTGATGCCTCCATTTCCCAGAGGTGCAGTAATGATAGACCAGAGTAGCTGCTGTTTCTCTTGAAGCTGTAAGGGGGCGAGGGCGGTCTTTTGGTGTAAAGGCACTCGAAGCTGGCTTGAGTTGGACCAGCAGCACGCGAGGTGATGCGCATTTCGATAAAAAAAGATAGAGAGGATGCTTGTACAGTGTCATGTGACGGTACGGACTGTATTAGTCGGAGCACAATCGCTACCGGTGCACAGTAATTTGACATCTAGACACTGTCCCACACTCATGCGCATCCTCATGTCCAAGGCGGGTTGCCTCGAAACTTTCGGGACACTTGTCCAGCGCCGTTATCCGGAATGTTTCATGCACAGCCGCACCTGATCCCTCCAGTCTTCCGCCGTAGGGCTGACGGGAACCTCCAAATTGCAGTCCCATCGATCCAATGCCGAGACCCAGAGTCTTACCCAACTTGTCCATTTCCACTATTGCCAATTCGAGCAAAGTGCCTAAAGGCGAACTTCGAAATAGCTGTACAGGGACATCGAGGCGTCGATAGACAATGGTATCACCATCCCTCGACTCCTCGATGATGAGAATTACCGTGCGCTACCTAGGGAGCTGTCCAATCATGCCGTTATCAATGCCTACCCCTCAACGATTCATCGAGTTGCAAATCTCCCCGACGGCGCCTTTATCCCCACACTGTTCCGATCCACGTCTGGAAAGCATGCTGCATATTTCCCTTCCGAGACACCAAATATCTTGAGTCGCGGCCACGGGACGCAACAGCATCGTCAGGCTCCGTATCCCGCCGGCAGCTCTCATCAAAGCCAACTTGAAAATGCCGTCTCGCTCCCTCAACACCAAACCTTGCCGCAACAGCAAAGCTGCTCGCAACAAGGCCGCCGTTGTAGGATCTGCGGCAAGGGCCGAGCCGGTTTGTTCAAGTACCTGTCTTCCTCCCGGGCCGGCAATGCATGCCTATGTTCTTCAGCTTCGCTCTCTCATAGCGCCCGAACGATTCTTCTTCGCAGCAGCTTTCCAGTCAGTTGAAAAACGGCTGGACAGCGTGGACCAATACCCTGGGCAAGACCCTAGGGAGCCTCCGGAACTCCAATCCTGTCTTAATAGCAACGGCCCAAGCATGCCATATTTGCGATAATGGCCACGGCATGTGATACAGTAAGCATACAGATTGAGTCAGTGCCAGAAATCTACCATCAAGCAGCCATAATCTCCTTGATCCGCCCCAACTCCTCTCTTGCCGTGGCAGTTTCGACTTCCAGGCACCTTCTCAACTCCGGGTTCTCCTCACTCTCCGTCGCCACGTTCTCGTCCCGAATCAGATTCAGAGTTGTCTCAAAGGCGCCCAGGTGTCGCTGCAGAATCTCCAGCAGCTGCTCCTGCAGGCCGTCCGCCGAGGTCTTCAGCCTGTCTCTGAAATCTCTCATGTATTTCGGGAACAGGTCCAAGTGCCGGAGTGCGCCGTTCATGATGCCCTTGCGCTTCTGATCGCTCCCAGTGCCTGTGAACCAAGGTCAGTCACGCAAGTACCGGTAAGTCAGGCCACAGCGAGTCAGTTAACCAAACATCGTCGGGTTGCGACATACCGTACTGCATATTGCAGTCCCTATACGACTTTTCCAACGCTTGCCCGATGAGCGAGGTACGGATGCCCGACAGAGCATCTATGCGCAAAGTGCTAGCGAGATGGACGGTCAGCAGGGGCGGAGAAAGAATGTTAAAACTGCCTTCTGAGCAGGTTGGACCCTCACCCCAGCTCCTCGTTGAACTTTCCGAAGAGAGCCTCCGCCTCGGAGACGATGGCTTTGCGACGACATTCCAAGGCTGCAACCAGGACTCTTCTAGTCCGTGGGAGGTCTTCGAGTTCCGTTACTTGCGTTACGTCAGCACGAGGTTTCTCAAACTCATCATCATGGCTCACGAATAAGCTCCAGCGCCTGAGCCAAAACGTCGTCCATCAGCTCGGCGTTCTCTTCAAGCTCGTGTTCAATGGATGAACACAGCTCATCCCATCGTGGCCCCAGGTCCTTCACCAGTTTGTCGATGGCCTCCTCGTTCCAGTCGCGTGGACCAATAATACGAGTACAGTGACTGCCATATTGGCGGCAGAACGCACTGTAGCTTGCTGAAGCCCATCGTTAGCAAAGGTTACGGAGATCTAAAGGGATAAGACCCGCCTTGATTCCACTAGCCTCTATGTTAGTCGGAGTCATTGGATGCAGAAACTTTCAGATTCAAGATACGTACGCAACACCAGTCATTGCCAGCCTGGATGGCCAATTGTCTCCACTGGTCGAGCTGTCGATCTGATGAAACGCACATCAGAACGCGGTAACTCAAAGAGGGGGAAGGGACCAAGGAGCCCTACGATTGTATACTTCGGTCATGAACTCCTCTTTGATGGACTTCCCAACGCGGCTAAGATCCGAGTCCCGCTCAACCAATTCCTGTTCATCAATAAGCTTGGTCCGGAACAGCGGGTTCCATGTTCTGGTTCACCCTCTTCAGCCTGCGCTCGACCTTGTCCAGCGCCTCACGGACGGTCCTCTTCTGCTCTGCGCTCGCGCTCCCGGCGCCCGACTCAATCCACAAAGCCACATCCCCAAAGAGGGCCGGGAGATCGTTGGTGACGAACTCTCTCGCGATGCGCAGCTGGCTGTCCCCGATGATGGCGAGGCAGTGTTTCCGCAGCGCGAGGATCCCACTGAGGTGGAGCGAAGGGAGCGCATCGTCTTTCGAAAGCCGCCGCCTCGCCCAGTACTCGGTGTTGCTCACGCAGAACACGTGCAGCGTCCCGTCCGAACTGTTCTTTCTGTACTCTTTCCGGAGCTCTCCGCTGACGGTTGCGTTACGGTTTTCGATCAGGTATTTCTTGAGTCTGGAGTCGAGGAGATCAGACGACATCGACCGCAAGCTATTTCAAATGCACGCCACTTACTCAAAACGCTTCTTTTGAAGATCCTTACTGTGAGGCATCACAATGGTCAGCGGAAGAGACAAGACGCGAAATAAAGGGAGAACATGCCCTAGGCTCCTTAGACGGCGACTAAGATCAAGTTCGATATCCTCTTGGTCCGTTAGCTCATCGTCTTCTAACTCGGCTAAGCTGAGGTTCGCCTCGTCGATCTGGCCCTGGGTCCTGGCGACCTCGTTGCTCAGCTCCTTGATGCGCCTCGCACGCAGGCCTTTCCAGTCCTTTATAGCCTCCTCGGCTCGAATGTCCTGGATTGCGATACAAAGTCAGCACGACGGCTTTGCGGGCAAAGGGCCACCACCACAACTACCATCACGGGAGACAAAGCTGGAAGGTTGGCACACGACGACAACGTACATCAGACTTGGTACAGACGATGCCCACGTTGGACAGCTCAGCCTTCTTCGCGAGCTCAAAGACGCTCGCCACACCTTCGTCGGTCGTCGCCCGCCCGATGTGGCAGATAGCGAGGACTTCGTTGCAATGAAGCAGATAACGCTCCGTAACGTTCCTGCGCGCCGAGTTCACGTCGCGGAGCCCTACAAATGTCGACAGTCAGAAAACACTTCTGCCTTGCCTCCTGCGTCACGAGCACTCGGCTTACCAGGTAAGTCGACAAGGACCAGGCCCTTGCTCAGGATGTGCGAGTTGAGAAACACCCTAAAAACATCGTCAGCAAACCGCTCCTTCCCGCTCAACTCTTTCGTGGATCGCTCAATAGGGTTGCGGAACTCACTTGATCGTCTTGATGTACGACCAGATGGCCGGTTCGCGAGCTCCCGCTGTCTCGGACGTCAGCCGCATCAGCAGGCTCGAACACGCCTGCACTTCGGCCATGGTATATTTCCCGTCGTCCTGCGGGTAGGTCTCATTCAACCAGGACCGCAACAACGATAACACGTTTTCCTCCATGTCGTTAGCGAGGAACGCCTCGTCACCGAGCCGACCCCGGAACATGGCCCGGAACGTGTCCAGCGCAACCTTGGCCTGTTGTTCGGCTTCCTCCACCCCGTCATCCCTCGTCATCTCTCTGGCGTGCAGGTGGAAGCGGCGGTACGACTTGAGCAGCTCGTGTACCTGGTTCGCGAGCTCGTCTTTGTCAAAGAGCTCCATCTCGACGACGAAATCGTCGCGGGCGTGATGGTGGTACTCAGTGACGACGCAGGTACATGCGGCTCCGCTGTTACTCTGTGCGGGAATTAGCTACAAAAGAAGACAATAGCCTCCATTCTCATGCGTCATGTCACTCACGGTCCTCGCTAGCCCCTCTCGGTCCAAAAGCGAGTTCAAAACACTGCTTTTCCCTATAACCACCCCCGATTCCGCCGTCAGCCTCAACATACACACGACCAACACGAACAAGCAAGGGAAGCTTACCGACGCCCGAGTCCCCGACAAAGCCCACGGTCCGTGTCGAGGGGCACTGGAAGTTCGCCAGTTCCCGTGCCCGGCGGTGCAGCCGCTTGATGGTTGAGTCTGCGCTCGCGTGGAGTGGGCTTCCCTCCAGAACGCCCGCCAGCCGCGCAGACAACGCCTTCGCGTCCCCAAACGCCCCTTGGACCGCTGGGTTGTGGAAGTGGTTCGGCGGGGGCTCCTCGTCCCGGACGTCGTGGAGGATTAGACTCGCCCTGGATCCCGCCCGCGACCGTCGGTCGGTAGGCAGCCGCAGGCCCAGCAAAGAACCCCCGGCGTCCGGACTCACGGTAGTAGTCTGTCGCTGCCGCCGCGACGGCGTCCGCACTCCAAGGCCGTCGGCGATGTCCGCTATCGCGTCCCTGACATCCGACATGCCCAGCCTCGAGGGACTGGCGCCGAGGTCCAGGCCATTCAGTCGGGCGGCGATGCTCGCCGCCTCCCCGCCATCCTCCAGAGGCGAGCCTACCCTCCTGGGGCTGGTGCCGGGAGACAAATTAAGGGCGCTACTGGGCGACGTCGAGGACGGCGGAGAGACCGACACCGAGGGCGTCCTAGCGCGGCCGGTACTGGTATCACTGATGCGCTCGCTACTGCTGCTGGTCTCGGTCGGGCTTTCGTCCTGCCCTTCAATCGACGGGAGGGGCTCGTCGGGCGAGCCGAGAGCAGTATGCTCTTCACGCGGCGAAGATGGGGAGGAGAAGTTCGAGTCATCAAGCGATGACTCGGAAGATGTCGACGGGGTGGGAGATCCGCGAGACGGCTCGCTCCCGGTCGAAGTAGAACGACGCTGCTGCTGCTGTTTTCGTGATCAGATACAACCTCACGCAGAAAGAAGGGGGGCAAGAGGGGGGGCTCACCACTATTTCCATTGTTTGGGATCTTTATCATCCAGTCTTGAGAGTAAAAAAAAAGTAGAAAAGAAAGTTGAAAAGCGTAGACATCTCCGTTCGAGAAGGGGAGGGGGGAGGGGGAGAATATGTGTTCCGCCCACATACGTTCTTCAACCCCCTTCCCCCCCCCCCTCTAGATGTCGTGGTCGATCCTCGACCCAGAAACCGCGGCCCGTTCCAACGAACCGCGCCTCCTTCAAAACATGGGGTCACCCACCTCAAAAGGAGGGGGTTGTGGGCATCCAGGGGCATCCAGGCTAGAAAGGGTGAAGAGGCCGGTTGCAGATCTGCTCGTTGGTTCCCCTTCCTCCCACCACCCCCCCACGGCCGAACCAACAGCAACACCGACAACCAACAGACAACCAACAGTGCCCGCTGCCAGGGGGGGTCTTTCCTCCAACCACACACACACATACCCAAACGTGTGTTGCAAAGGCGACCAACACGTACGCGGGTCGCCTTGCCAAAAGCGGCCTTGACCGCGTGACGCCCCAGCCAGCTCCGTACATGTTCCCATCACGCCCCCCTGCTGCTGCTGCTGCTGCTGCCGCTGCCGCCGTTCCCTCCGTTTCTTCAAGGGCATCTCATCCAAAGGAGGCGGGAGGGGGAGAAGGGCCGGAAAGGTCGCATGTAAAGGTCTACTCCGTGATCCGTTAGCCGCCTGGTCCCCTCTCCCTCTGCTATCCCCCCGTACGATTATCAAGACAATACATGCACACGAGACAGTCAATCCACCCTTGAGCTAGGCTGGGGGCGAGGCTGGACCGGGTTTCACGGCGACCTTTGTAACGGCCTGGGTTCACGCCAACGAACACACTTTCGACACGCTCAGCCAACGGCGCGGTAGCGCGGGGCGCAGCACATGGGTTATCCATCTTGGGCGGCAACACACGAGTGCAGACGACCAGGCCACAGGGTTTTTTCTTCCTCTTCTTCTCTTCGTCTACGACTCTACTACTATCGACTTCTCACCGGGCACGGAATATACAGACTAACAAAAGACAGCCGACATTATGATTGGTCTATGCGCTAACGATATATATCTATAGATATATATCTAACCCTTCCTTTCCGTATAACCCTCCCTTCCGTTTGCTGTCCCTTTCTAGGGCTCGCAAGCGCGCTGTGTTCCACGCCTATGATGAAATTCCCCTCCTTTCCACATCCAAAACAAGAAAAGAAACAAAAGAAACAGGTATCCAACGCCCATCGCAATGCCGTAGTTTGTATGTCCTTGGTGTTGTATAGAGAGACAACCGAGCAACACCCGCTCCCCCCCTAGGGAATTATATAATGGTTATGGGTCGATCGTAGGCAGTACCGTGGCAACGAGGAACATACACCCCTCTTTCTTACAGGCCTAGTACATGACGCTCTGCCGCCAGCGCTCGATGGACTGCATCTGCCCGTTGTGCCCAGGCTGCATCGGCATCTGCATCGGCGCCATGCCCTGCTGCATCCCCATCCCGGCGCCTATGGGCTGCATCTGCATCGGCATGCCCATGCCTCCGCCGTACGGGTTTACGCCGCCCATGCCGCCCATGCCGCCCATGCCGCCGGCGGTGTACCCCCCGTAGCCGTTCGTCGGGTTCTGCGACATGTGGGCGATGCCCGCTTGGCCGATGAGCCCACCGTAGGAGGGTTGCTGGAGCGGCGCGCCATAGTTGCTGAAGGCCATGCTGGAGCGGTTCCATCCGCCAGGGCCCATGCCGACGCCGACGCCGTTGCTGACCGCCGGCCTGTGGTGGTCGAGCCCGCCGGAGCCGTCGTTGAAGGCGCCGTTCATGTATCCGCCGGTCCGCTGCAGGTTCGGCCCGGTGAGCGTCTTGGGCATCTGCGCCCGGACGGCGGCAAGCTTTGCCTCCTGTTCTTTGACCTTGCGCTGCTCCTGCTCGAGGCGGCGTTGCTCTTCCCAGGCAGGGTTCTGGACCGTGGGGTGCAAGGCGAGGACGTCGGCCAAGCTGTGCTTCCTGCGCAAGGCGGACGCCTCGGGCTCGACGGGGCCGCCGCTCAGCATCATCTCCCGATCGCGGGCCTCGCGCTCGGCCTGCAGTCTCTTCCTCCGCTGGCCGAGCGTCTCCTCTGCCTCGTTGGGCTGGACCTTGACCTCCTTGCCCTTGTCTTCGGGCTGCTTGTCCGGTTCGCCGAATTGAGCCAAAATCTCCTCGGAAAACATCTTGCTGACGGGGCGGGTGCTGGGGAGGTTGTTGTGTTCGGCCTCGTCCTTTGCCCTTAGGCGACGCATGCGCTCGGCGAGGGTTTCGCCCTCGACGGCCTCGTCGTCATCCGACTCCTCCCGGGGCCTCAGGTGCTCGGCTGAATGCATCTGGTGAAGTCGGAACTGGCTCAGACCGGCGTTGAGGGTGAAATGGCTCCTTTGCTTGGCCAAAGTCCTCGGCGGCGGCTGCTGGCCGTGCAGACGGGCGCGGCGGGCGCTGAGAGGCTCGTTCTCTTCCTGATCACGGCGCTCCATCAGACCCATGGGGCGGTGCATCTCGGCGATGGCGGGCTGATGCGCGTACAGCACGCCGAGCGGGACGTCGTCTTCGTCGGAACTGCCGTCCTCATCCTTGGCCCCGTCTTCCCAGGCTAGCGCAATCTTCTTCTTCTCGCGGTGCCTCTTCTGGGCCTCGGCGACGGCGTCCAGCTCGATGAGGGTGGCGTGCATACCGTTCTGGCCGACGTTGCGGTTCGGGTTCTGGGTGCGCATCCTTGCGTGATACTTGCGCAGCTGCAGCTCGGCGAGAAGGGTAGTGGGGGGTCCGTCGAGAACACCGGCGAACTCGTCCTCCTCTTCTTCCTTCTCTTCCTCGCCGTCATCTTCCGAGCCCTCGCCTTCGGGCCTGTCCACGCCATCCCCATCGACGTGATCAGACAAGCCTTGGTTCTCTTCTCTGCTGCCGTCGGCCATCGAACTTTTCCGGGATCCGTCATCCGACTTCTTGCCAAAAGGCATGAGGCCGCCCTTCTTCTTCTGCGAGGCAGCCCTGACGTGCTCCTCGGGCAGCAGGACGGTGGGTGCGGCCGACTTCCTGTTCTTCTTCTTGTCGGGGCCGTACACCTCGGAACCGAGCTTGCCGGCAAAGGCGTGGTCCGTGAAGGCGCTGACCGGTGCGGTCGTGGACGCGTCAAGGATGCTGTCGAGCGTGGCCATGGGTGAACCTTCCTTGATCTCGATTTTGGGCGATATTGATGGCAGGTCGAAAAAAGCGCTCGCACGCAGTTGCGGTGGCAGCTGGGAAGCCCTTAGCATTTTTGACTTGCGCCGTTGCTGGGTGGGCGACGGAGGCTGCTGTGGCATGTCCTCAGATTGCCGACGCGCCAACAGCGCGTCGGCCTGCTCCGACGGCAAATGTGAATCGTGGACGGGCGACTTCATCGATTCATCCCCAGAAGGTTCGCCTTCGGCAACATCGCCAAAGGTGGTCATGCCGTGGCCAGCGAGCGGGTCGGGCAGCCACATCTTGGACTCGCGCACCCCCGCCTCGGGGTCCTGAGGCAGGTACTCGGCCTTGCCAAACCCGGGGTGGCCCATTGCCTGCAGCACCTTTGAATGTCTCGCGTTGCGAACCTCGGTCTTGGGCTTCTTGGACAGCTTGGGCGGCAGGTTGAGCATAGCCGGTACGCGGGCGGGGTAGTAAAGCATCTCCTGGCCGGTGAGCGGGTCAAAGTACGACTGCGGCCTGCCCGTGCCGGCCCTGTTCGTGGGCGGCACGCGCCGCGCCACCGGCTCCCACTGGGGCTCGGGGATATCCGGCATAGGCATCACCTGCGGCCTGGGCATGATGGGTCCCTCGCGATGCGCGCCGTCGGTGGGTTCGTGGGAGTCGTAGGCGCGCTCGACATCTTCGGGCTGGCAGTGCACGCCGTCAAAGTCGCCAAACACATTGGTGTGGTCAAAGGTCGAGGTCGACTTGGGGGTGGGCGGCCTGTCATCCGACTCCTGCCCGGCGTTGTCGCCGCCAAAGTCGAGGCCAAGACCCGACGATTGATGATCCATCTCGCCGAGCATGTCGTGGTAGCTGCCGCTGCGGTCCTCGTCGTGGCGGGTGTTGGGCCGGCGAATGGTGGCATCGTCGGCGGCGGTCACTGGCACGGGAGCATGGTCGGCCTCATCGAGCACGCGACCGGTCAGGGCGACGGGCTCCGACTCGGAAATCTCAGCCAGGGAAGGCTTGGCGGAGCGAACGCTCCTACTGGAGCCCTTGCCGGGGCCGTGGCGCGACAAGATGGCATCGACGTCGATCTCGGGACGACCAGAGGAGTTCTTGGAGCCGGAGCGCAGGCGACCGGTCAAAGAGTGGTTGGGAGACATGACGTAGCCGCTGGGGGAGTATCCACCGTAGCGAGCGGCGTTGTTGAGCTCGACGATGGAGGCGACGGGAGGGAGGACGCGAAGGGGGCCGGGCTGGGCCGAGGACTCGTCGATCTGGGATGGGGAGGCGGCAGCGGCGGCGGCGGCGGCGGCGGCGAGGTTTGCGGCAAGGATGGAGGAGCGGCGGGAGTCGGAGCGCTTCAGTTCACCATGCAGGTCGCGGATGGCGTCCTCGATGGAGCTGGTCATGGATAGGCGCTCGGCCGACTTCTCGAGGGCGGCAACGTTGCCGGTGTAGGCGCCGGAGCGGCAGTTGAGATCGGGAATGGGATGTTTGAGTGTGAAGTTGGAATCGGAAGTAGTTCGGACAATGGGTTTGGCGACGGGTCGCACGAGATTGGCGGCAGACGACGAGGAGGAGGGGAGGTTTTGCTGCAGTAGCAGGTTCTCCTGAATCTGGGAGACGAGACTGCTGGTAGAGGGTGACGAAGTTGTGGAAAGTTGGCGGGTAAATGCAGCGGGGGCGGAGAAGATGGTGGAAGGTGACGAGACGGATGCAGCCGGGCTCGTATTCGGGGGCACGACGGCGGTATTGCCGATGCTACTAATAATATTATTATTACGGTTGCTGTTGTTGTTGGTCCCGATGATATTTTCCGTCCGCACGGCCGAAGCGGGTTGGGTGGTGGTGGTGGTGGTAGTAGTAGTAACAGTGGTAGGAGAGCAGGAGGCGGTAGCGGTAGCGGTAGCGGTAGCGGTAGCGGCAGTGGCAGTGTTGGTCGGTGCTGGGGCGCTATCCCTTTCCTTATCGTTATCGCCCTCCTCTTCCTCGTTCCCCCTGACCATCTGCAGCACATCCAGCGACAGCGGCGTCGTCCCAGCACGGCGCTGGCGCGGGTTCTTAGGCGAGATTGCCAGCAGACCGGCCTCTGCCTCTTCTCCCTTATTTCCCTCCCTTGCATCGTCGTTCCAGCCCATCACCCACTCGCCCATTTCATCATGACCCGCCCTGCTGCTGCCACTGTTGCTGCCGCCGTCGTGGCTCTGTTTGTTCCTGGATGAGTGCGACGCTGCCGCTTCTATTTCTGTTGCATCGTCTTGGCGTGCACCCGAGACATCTCGTTGCTTGTCTCCCGCCGCCGACGCCGCCGCCACAACCGAAGCTGCTGCTGCTGCTGCCGCCGCCGGACATGTCGCCGACGCGTGTGGTAGCCGCATGGCCGCCGTTGCTGGTGCCGCAGGCGATGCTGTCTCGACGGATGTTGTGCTTGTATTTGTGTATTCGTAACCGTGGCCCGGTCGCACAGCATACGGCGGCGACGACGACGACGACCACTTTCCAGAAGTTGGTATCGCCGAAGCCGGTGATGTCGACTGCTGCTGCTGCTGCTGTTGTTGCTGCTCTAGCTGCCTCGGACTGCCCGTCTTGTCCTCTCCTCTGCTGCCGTCGAAATCACGGTCGGGAAACAGGTCGCTGTCCATGGACATGGGCGTCAGGCTCGTTTCGACGCGGGGCAAGAAGTTGGCAGGGCTGGGCGTCGCGTTGGCGGGGAAGGGGGGCTGCGACGACGACAAGGCCTCGCCTTTTGTGCCGTTATCGAACTTGTTGTATTCCTCGTAGTAGTCATCGCCGTCCACGTCCGTGTATCGCGCCGCGCTCGTTTTGGATGCCGACGGTAGCGCCCCTGCCTCTGCGTCGCTGTAGCCCGACCCAGACGACCCTGTCGAGGACGTGGAACACCTGCGGACCGAGGTGTAGGCTGTGGCCGCCATGTCGGCTGCTGGCGGTGTCTCGGTCTGATTTGCTCGTCGCAGGAGCGGCCGAGCTCCGGGTGGGAGGAATAGAGATGGGACGGCGGGCGCAGCAATCGGTGGAAGGGAGAAAGGTGATCTCGGCGGGGAAACAAGACGACAGAGCTTCGGGATTTCGACGATGCACCCCAGGCCAGGTTTTGGTTTGCTGGGCTTTGCTTGTCTACTACAGTAGTTTGCGACTTGGGACCTGGTCGAGTCTGAGCTGAGCCGGGCGGTGATGGTGATGGTGATGGGATGGCGTTTCCGAGGCGCGGTCCTTGCGTGGGCGGTGCAGGCCTCGAAGAGAGAGAAAAAACAGCGTCGTTTGCCGTCGTGTTGCAAGATGCGCCCGACGGTGGGATGAGTTTCTGGCGTTTATTTCCAGAGTTTGCGCCTCCTCTCGTGCTCTTGTATTCTGTTTGTTTTGTGTTTACTGGACCCGGCGCTTCACTGGTTTAGCGGCTCGGAACATTCAAGACCGGGGGCGTCTTGCAGAGTATCGTCGTTTATTTTATGATTATTTTTATTCTATCTTTCGTCCTCGGTCTGCGATCGTGGTGGGACAGCTCTCTTGATGTGCGGATCCGGTAACAGTGACGTAGTGCGCGAATCATGCATGGATAGTGTGGGTTTTGCTGCCGATGCGGCGAGAGAGAGATAGAGGGAGGGAGGGAGATGGAGAGGTCTTCGTCGATTCTGTATAATGTGCCGGTTCTGGCTGGTTTCGACGGCGCGGTATCGATGGGGAGGAAGGGGGGGGTATAAAGCCGAACAAGAGACGAATGCGCAAGTAGAAACGAGAACGTCGAAGAACCAAGGAGAAACGATGCTACTGCTGCTGTTGTAGTTGCTGCTACACCTGCGCCTCCCTTGGAGAAGAACCGAGCGAGTATAACGCGTGAGTCGAAAAGATCTGAGAACAGAGAGAAAGAGAGGGTACAACAGTTTGTGACGATGGAGGGGGGGGGGGGGGGGGGGAGGGTGTGATGAAGTAGATATTGGGTGTGGATGATACGGGCGTGGATGGGGTCCAGATGGGTATGGAAGGATGGATGGATGCGGTGAGATAGCGCAGGTCAAACAAAGGCGGGCAGCCAGGCATATCCCAAGCTCTGGACCAAACCACACCAGACCAGGGTTTTTACAGCTGGGAAAGTGAATAGGTAGTTTAGATAGTTTAGTAGGTTGAATAGGTAGGTAGCATGGGAAGGACGGCAGCGACGAGAGTCTGGGTATCTATCTGAACTCGGTGCAGATCTTCGTCCTCTCTTTCTCTATCTCACACACACACACTCACTCTCTCTCTCTCTCTCTCTCTCTTACTCTCTCTTCACTTCCTGCCAGTTTTCTCACCCAAATCCAAAGTAGGAAAGATGAGCGAGCGCAGACTGGCTCCCAAACCCCCAAAAGATAAGGTCTTGCTCAGTGCGGTTTGGATTGGGGGGCACGAGGTAGAGTTACCACCAGCAAAGGAAAGGCCCGAAGCAAGGTTACACGCGCCCAGGGTTTGATGGAACAAGGGGGTGAGCAGCGGGAGACGAACGCAGGTAGCGGGGATTGAGAAAAAAAAAACGAAAGTGGTCAACCGTGAAAAAAAAGAAAAAAAAAGAAAGAAAAAAAAGAGACGCACTGATACTGATCAAAAGGCCAAAACAGACACCGAGCAACAAAGCAAAGCAGCCCCCGACTCCAGCCCCCTTCTCTTTTCTCTCTATTTTTTTCCCTCTGTCCAAGGTCCAAGTCCCAACCCAATCTGGATTGCAGACGTGCGTTTACTGCCTAGTATGCCCCGGGTTGGGGGGGGCGTGATCCGTATACGTGTAATCCTCCCCAGAGAATTAGTTCCAAGAGTACACCCCGAGAGAGGGCCGATCATCAAATTTCAAGATTAACAAGACCAGGTTGAACAACACCGGATGAACCAGGGGGGGCGTGTGCGTGTGTGTGTGTGTGCTCTGAGACGAGCAGAAGGGCAAACGCTTGGGCTAAAAGCGGCTCTGACAGCTGAGCTTCAACAAGGTCAGTCCCTGGAGCTCTTTTTTTCTTGCATATGATGGACGAGAGAAAGGCTGGTTGGTTTCTAATTAGACTCCGACGTCCTCTACCCGGCTGTTAGTCTCTCTTCTCTGTCTTGTCCCCGCCACCGCCGCCAGACTTGGGTGTCCCGCGTATTGTGTATCTCGCCAAGAAAACGGGTCCCCCGCTGAAGAAGAAATTATTGGGAAACTACAACCGCCGGCTCGCATGCGGGAGAAAGAAACGGCGTATGTAAGGAGGGGGGAGGAAGGGGGCAGGAGCAGGAGCGGCAATGCACACGACGTATCTATACAACTGAATATACGATATACACGCGCGCGCGCAGCAGAACCATGCTCACGTCTCTTCCTTTTTTTTGCCCCCCCGGAGCTGTACATATTGCGTACTAAGTTTCATTACATGTATGCCGCTGACCTTGTGACAGCAAAGGGGGGGGAGAAATGAAATATAAAAAAAAATGTCAAGCCCCGTAAGGCCCGTAAGGATGATGTCGTCGGATGGGTCCCTACTAAAACTCTCCTCGGTACTATCGACGACGGACGGGGCCCCTGTGCAGGGGTGATGGCAGTTTCGAACAACCTCCCGTCTCCGTATTTCCCACCATCGAGCTCGCAAGGGGGCGTGGAGAGATGAGATGGGGTTTGAGTAAAGTTACGACCAAGATTGCTTGAGATGAGCATTCGTACGCGAGAGTGAGCAATCACTCGAGGGAAAAGGTTTAAACCACACCCGACGACATGCACGCACTCACTCACTCACTCACACACACACACACACACACATATACACATATACACACATAAGCACACATAAGCACACATACATAAACACGCTGCACGCAGGGGGCGGCCGTCAGCTTCGTGCGACTCGGTCGGATAATATAACATTAGGCCGGACGGGACTCCGCGTCTTCGCGAGTAAGATGGAGACAATCTGCGCCTACACGACCTCAACATCCACGTCGTCACGAAGGGGGAAGGGGGGGGGCCGCCGACGGTATGAGATGAGAGATGAGATGACATTACATGAGCCGGTGGGGGGAGGTTGCTTGGATGTGGTGTCACCACGCACACAAGACTTATGAGGACTGGCCATGCAGACGCAGACTCTTGCCGTCCGTCAATCAATCAATCAATCAATCAAACCCGCCGCCTCATTTCTCCTTGTCGAGGGCGACCTCGTCAACTGACCAACGGTCAAAAGAACCTCCTCCTCCTCATCATCCTCCTCATCCCGCGCCTGGCGCTACCCCAGACCACGCCTATCTCAAGCCCGTTTCCCCAGCCCGGCCCCCAACCCATCTTCTTGAACCTATCTCCCACCCATCCAAGTCCGTGAAAGCCGCCAACCACTTAGTCCAGTCCATCACGCCTCTTTCTTCACCCGCCACCGCTGCACTGGACCGGACCGAGCTGCCCAAAGCCCCGGCCCTCTCCGACCACCCCATCCATCAACCTACGAGTCCAAAAAAATCCCCGCTTCCTGGTCTGGTCTGGTCTGGTCTAGCGAAAGAAATCCATAACAAAGTCCGAACAGCTAGCGTAGCTAGAAGTGGGGGGGTCGTGAACAACGCATGCGATCAGCGAGCGATCAGGTCCGGGACCCTCTTTATCTCTTCGCTTTCCTTATTCCTCCCCCCGACGTGGCATGACATGTCTTGCTTGTATCGCCGTCTGGTTCGTTCAGGACGCGCTACTTAGCGCGGGCTCGCCAGAGACCCCAAGGACGACGAGAAAAGGAAAAAGTCACACACGGGGGCAAAGACGAAGTCGGCCGCTTCCTCGGCTCCGGCACTCAACCGTCCCTCTTGGCATACAAACGATCACCTACGTTTCTCCATCTCAAAACTCTACAAGCCCCGCCCCAGGAGTCACCAAGAGCCCAGAGGTGTGTGGCAGACGACCCCCAAATCCCAACTCTCCCAAAGCGACCAAGGTTCAGAGACATGTCGTTCGCAGGCGTAGTTCCCAAAAACACTTGTCTCAAACACACCCCTCTCCCGCAGGCACATCCAAGCCATGTTCGAGTCCACCCGAACCGAAAGGGAACCCCCCATGGTCGTCCCTGTGCCAAGCACCGAGAGAGAAAGAGAGGGCGAGAGACAACAGCACCGCTAAGAGCTGAGCTGAGCCGAGCTGGGCTGAGCTGAGTTGGTGACTTACCGACTTACTGATCGACTGAGCCTGCGCACACTACAAAACGTAAGAAGGTGGACGGACATCCGCCTGCGCATACCCGCACCATCTGAGCGGCACCGCCGACTCGTGACCATCGTCATCCTGCATCCTGCCGCTGGGGGGGACCCAAAGCCAAACCCCCTCCGGCGTGGGCTCTCAGCCCAATGGCCCCGGGCATATGTGTTCGTATTAAGTCGATAGTCCCGAGTCCCGGGTCCACCGTTAAGCTTCCCTTTGCCGTCGTCCGTCTTGTCGTCTCGCAACAAGCAAACACCCCCCCTCCGGAAAGATGCTTTGCCGCCCCTTGCGTCGCCGAGGCAAAGCTCATCTTTCGCCGTGCTTCTTTTTCACCCCGTACTCTCTTCACCGTGGCGCGGCTCACCGCAGCTTGTACGAACCCGCCCGCTCCCGTCCCATCTTCCGTCCATCCGTACCTGAGCAAGCCAACTTTCTGTCCCTCCTGCATGTCCTGCCTTCCAGCGGGCCCAACACGATCTCGATCGCTTTGCCCGGCCACGACCTCAACCATTGGGTTTGGGTTTTTTATCAGTCAGGGACAAGGGGGGTCTTGAACACTCGGACCCCCGGCATGGATACCTGTAGACGGGAGGGGGTGATAAGCCTTATTGGGGCCGTCACGAATGCCACCTCCTCGAGACTCGCAAATCTCCAGCCCACACAACCAGCGCATCGCCAGCCATCAAACACCAAACACCTTTCAGGATGCCGCCAGCGCTAGCAATCGCGGCTCCCGATTATACACAGTAGTGGCCAAGCGCACGCCGCGTGGCTTTGCGCCCCTGTCTCTGTCTCTCTCTGTTCATCTCTCTCTCTCTCTCTGTTCATCTCTCTCTCTCTCTCTCTCTCTCTCTCTCTCTCTCTCTCTCTCTCTCTCTCTCCCTCCTACGCATCCACTCAGAGACTTCCTCCCTTCCCCCTCGTCTCTCGCTAGGTGTTCGTAAAGTTTACTACGGACACTAGGTCGGAAATGATCTACGACTTTCAACTACTATGTATTTTAAAGCGCTTGCCACTGCTGGTCAACCAACCCCCTGTCGCACTCTAAACTAGATTTCCTCGCGCGCCGACTCGTCGGTGCCTCGGAAACACCCCCGTCCCTGTTGATCCCGAATACACCAGACGATCTCTTCTCGTCGTCGTTGTCGTTGTCGCACGCCTTCCGGCAACGACAGGCCCAACCCAACCTCCAGGCGGTGGCACCGAATCGCCAAATAACAAATAATATAAAATGAAAATGAAAAAAAAAAAATTGAAAAAAAATTGACAATCGCTCCACATTCGCCTCGTAGCACCTGGTTCCGGAATCCGTTCCATCTCCCATTCATTGCCCAGAATTGTGTGACGAGGCGCCGCGCCGCATAAACTCCTGTTCCATTGAGAGGATCCATCTCTGATATCGGAGTGAAGCCCGTCGCCCTCTCCCCCTCTCAAAGACCTTCTTCCACTCACGCGCGAGCAATGGACGGACCAGCCTCTCACACCGCAACCGCAACAGCTTCTGGCCCCGCCGCGCTGGCATCACCAACAAAACAAAACAAAGCCCATGCCCGCCTCAGTCTGTGCCCTTCGGCGCCTTTCTCTCTCCATTGCTCTTTCGATGGCTCGATCCCGTAACCTGAACTTCCTCAACCGTCCATGCTAAGCTCCCCCCGGTCCGTGTACACGTGTGTGTGGGGGGGGAGGGGCAGTTTAGATAACCCGGATCCGGGTTGAAAAGAACCAGCCAGTCCAGGCCCAGACAGCTCTCCTCCGAGCTCCACAAGCCACTTTCCCACCCGTTGCTGTCGCTGCAAACTCGAGCTTTCGTCTCCCCTCGACATATCCCAGTTCCCCCCCCCCCCCCCAAAAATACATCAGCCAGAACGCTGACTCGTAAACCCCAAAAAAAGAATGGAGAGAAGAGAAGATAATAAAAAATAAAACCTGGAAACGGGAAAGTCAAGCCGACCCGTAGCTCTGGTTCCCCCCAGACTTTTTGAGTTCAGCCACTGCATCCAGTTATATCCGTAGTATAGTGGTCAATGATCGTATTCCTCACGGGCCCCTCCCCTGTGTGTTGGCAACCTTACAACCCTTTTGGAATGGGGAGGATCAGACACGAGACTAGGCAAGACGCACTGACAGCGCCTCAATGGTCACGACATGCCCAGAGAGGCCCGTTGCGAATGAAGACCAGGCAGCCTGAGCATCCAAAAGCCAAAACCGTAGAGAGGTAAGCGGCGGCACTCGGAACCTAACACGGGTTTGCCCCCCCCCTCCCCTTTCACCAGCATCAGGCTCTGCAGGGCTGTATCCCAAAACTCGTTGCAAACCTAGACCCTCCCCCAGTCTGTGTAATGATGCCCGGGGGGGGCCGGACGGGGGCTAGTCGATATCACATCCTGTGCCACGTTGGAACCTTTCTCCAAATGAGCTCTCCTCTGTCTCTGGCTCCAATGTGGGTAATTGCACACGCCCGATAACGTGTAGGTTCCCAGAAAGCTTCCTGATTCTACAGTTTTCCGTCATGGTCATGGGTTCCCTCGTCATCTCCTGCAGGTTCCATCTCTGTCACACTTGACAATCTCGCGAGGAACTTCCCGAGTGACAACGTTCCCTATCTGGAACCATGCCCCCCCCCTTACACCCCTTCTCGCTGGAAACACCCGCCTCTCGAGACCTGCGGCTGGCTCCCAGATACACCTCCATCGAGGTCGAGGTAATGTCTGATAAGCCGCGAGCTTATCTCATGTGCGTGTCGGCGGCCAATTTCGATACCCGCCGAAGGCTGCAGGCGTAATTTTAAAACGTCGTCGCATATGTCTGCCTTGCAACACCCGGGACTCGATAAGGACGTGAGCGCACCGGGCTGCGCTATCCTCAAAGAGCCCTTTTTTCCAAGGTATGCCGTGTATTTGTCGCCCGAGTTGACCTCTCGTTTCCAAACCGTCGTCATCAGCCCTTGCTCTACATCTCGCTCCCGGGAATCCTCCCGTGCTCGGGCTGCGTGCCGCATTTGGATATCGCGGTTGCGGTTGCATTTGCAACCTACGGCTCTTGACCGTATTACCCGGAGCAGATGATACCAAGGAATGATCTCGTGATGGTTCTCCACCCGGCACGGCGATACGGCTGATTCCTCCAGCGCTAGAATTGATTTAGTTGGGACTGGTTCGCAGATCGATAGTTGCAATGCATGTCAGAAACCAGTGCTGTCGGCGGATAGCTTACTCGCCAGACTACATGGGTTGAGGACAGTTAGTAGAAGCCCACTCTTCACCATTCTCGGCTTGTAACGGACGACTCAACTTTCGTAGAGTAACCTGACGTGCATGTATCGGCAAGCTGGGATAGGTCAGTCAGATCCGGTGTTTGCCGTCTCCCGGTCCCTGTTCTCTGGCCGATGCTCCATCGGTGTGCTCGTCACGATGTCAGATGAACATGGTCCCGGTAATACAACCTTGATCGCGAGCTTTTGATTGCATCAGCTGCGGTGATGCCACCTTCGCCGTAATACCAGACGCCTTTACAGTTCGGGGTCTGTAACACAGCATGTATGGTTGATATCAGCTTGTTGAAAGTTTTCGTAGGGTTTGTGCTGTGCCGTTATTACCATTGTTGCAGGATCCCGCAGACCAAGCAAGTCCTCAATAATCTGCAACAAGCCCTGCATCATTGACTCCCCCCGTTACCAAAGACTGACAAGCTTGGAATGACACAGAAATCAGTTTATCAAGTTTGGCCGACAGGTTGTCCAGTGAAGGATCATGGCTCATCATCCAAGGTTACACATGCGTAGCAGGGCTCCCCGAGTTATCTAGTTACGTCCCTGTCATACGTACTCGACTCGTCCTCCAGTCACGTTGAGAGGATACGGTGTCGAACTTCAACTCATTTTCAGGAAAAGACTGCGCTTTTGCGTCCGTTTGGCAACGTGCACGAAAGGCAGTCTAATGCCCCGGTGTAGGCAATGGTGAAGTTAATGGTAATCCCATCTTACTCTCATCTTCCGGAAGACTAAAGAGGCCAAGGCTAGCTCGGTCGCTGTGCAAGCAACTGCATATCCAATGTAGACAGAACTGAGATGGATTTGACGGAATTCGTCTCGATGTGACCTGTGGCAGCAGTGCTGTCTTCGGAGCTGATACACCAGACCCGGTCAGATAATCGATTTGCTCTGCCGTCATAGAGAAGAGTAACACGGCACCAGGATAGCAGCTCAGTGGTCGAAGAAGGGATGGCATGACCAACCAAGGCAGACTAAAGGACCGCTTCGTGATTTCGTACGACAACGCGCAACGTAGTGCTAAGCAAGACGATAATCCAAACGATAATCTGCGGTCCGGTGAGTTCTCCAGCAGAGTTACACCAAGAAGTCATGACAAGAATTGCAAATCCGTGTCGATCTCGGTAGGAACGATCTCCATTGGGCGTCTGTGTGACGCAATTGAATGTCATGAATGCGGCGATTCGACTCATGTTCGGAAGATTATCAAAGGGTCCTGGGGGGGCAAACAAGCTAGAAGCCAAGATCGGCGGCACAGTGCCCGTAACTCTCATCCTCGTCTTTGATTTCCAGAGGCGTTGCCAAGGGGCTTTCGACTGGGTCAGATTGGCACAGAAAATCATGATCCCCCTCAGCTTGATCGACTTCTGGCAGATTAGCCCTCATGGCAGCAAAGAATTCCGACACCTGTCAACATGGGTACATGGCGGAAAGAAGAAGGATCAGGCTAACTCGCTTCAAGCTGTCAAAGCCAATATTGTCCAACCTTCTAGATGGCTGGACTCTGACTCCCATATCATCACTACCTCAAACCCAACTGATGGAACTGACAAGATCAGTAAGGTCTACTCTTAGACCTAAATATTTAGGGTTAATTATGTTATATCGATTAGAAAAGGAGGGGGAATCAGATCTTCCCTGCCTCGAGACTCAACCCAAGTAGACCAAGGATTAGAGCTAAACCTTATTTCCCTAAGCCTTGTCAAGCAGTACAACCTGCCTGTCTATTCTTTGCAAGGGATCAGCTTTGGCGGACTTTAAATCTCTACTGCTGACAACAGAGCTGTGCTGATGGACCTCTTCGTGGCCATTAATATCGAGACGTCAGGCATCAAACGGGAAATCTGGGCATGTGTCCGGCCAGAAGGCCAGCAAGTTCAAGCTAGAAGCCAAGATCGGCGGCACAGTGCCCGTAACTCTCATCCTCATCTTTGATTTCCAGAGGCGTTCTTGAAAAGTTCAATAGCAAAGCGTCCGTCAGTAGCCGGATCCGACAGTTCTAGATCCCCGCATCACATGAGGAATAGCGTCAAACAATGAAGAGCGCGAGTCAAGCCGGCCTGTGGCCGGTACCTCATCCCATTGCGCTACCGCGGGAGCGAGAAATGGTTTCCGAGGCGGAGAGAACGAGTCACCTCCGGACGGGGCGGCCAGCCATCCAAGCCCCATGCCCGCGACTCAGCTCGAGACGGGCTTCAGGGCGGTTGGTAGCACCACTCTCCCAACTGAACAACGACTCTGACTGGTCTCAACAAAAAGCCCGCTGAGCGGTGTGTGTCAGACGCATCGAGGACCCTTTAGCGGCCGCAGGGATGGCCATTTGACCAATCATTTCGAGTTCTAACGTCTGATTCACAAGAACTGTTTGCTTTGCATGTGGCTTGCAGAGGGAGGGTAGCATCACTATGAGCGCGCGTGGCAGGATAAAGCAGAAATCGGGCACGTGTGACTTTGCGTTGTCCTAGTCGGACGTGAAGCTGGTAAGAGCGTATCACGATGTTGAGAACCGCCGGGAGCGACGAGTTCCTGGAAAGTCTCGCGGGTTAAGCCGGCCGGGATTGCTGTCCGGCTCAGGCGAAGCGGAGCCGGACTGGAGGTTCCGAGGCTCCCTGGTCCATGGCTCTATGCGTCGCAACGGAGCCAGCCATGGCGAGCGTAGCTGACGATGTGTACGTAGTAGGCTGTTGACGGGCCAAGTTTTGTCCAAAGAGTGCGCCGAATCATGGCGACAGCGTAATGCCGGTATCGGTCAATCTCCAAGTGATCGTCATGGAGAACTAATAAGCCAGTAAGCAATACACAATAGAGTGATGGCACAGAGGATGTCTCAGGCGCATGCGGTTGCGAGCAAGATAACGGGCAGAGGCGTTGGCTTCCAGGTTCCCGTGGGGGAGACTTTCAGTTGTAAGAGCAGCGGTGTGGGGGTTCAACCGACCATGAGGGATCGATAATCGTTGGTGAGCTTGTTCAGGTATTTTTGTTTCGTAAACTGTCGTGTGGTGATCCAGATGAGGCGCATGTCCAATCCCGGCCGAGATTAGGAGATTCAGAAAATTGGCCTCGACAGGCCGTGCGAGAAAACGTACCAGCGTTGACGTTTGAGGGGCGCAATGTGCCGGCGCAGACACCGTTGCCGTTGCCCGGCCCCTGCGACACGTTGGTTCATGGTATCCTGCTTGCGCATTCTCGGGGGTGGAATGTGGGTATGTTTTTCGGCTTTGGATTGATGCGCTGTCAAGCCCGGACAATGTGGTTCTTTGGACAATGGGCACAGCTTGGTTGCGTGGCTCAATTGTCTGGCTCAACTGACTGGATTCAAAGCGGCAGTCATCCGATGGTTTCCCTTCTCCAAGACTGCAGTATGGCGTCAGTTGAGGTATCGGGTAGTGTCACACAGCGCGGCGCATTATTGAACGAAGCCCAGCGGGAGGCTTGCCCGGGAGAAAGAGAACATGCCCTGGGCGCGGTCCGATGGCTGCCCAGCCCAGGACAATCGTGTGTTAGACGGCCTTGGAAATGGCGTTCAATCAGGGCTCGTGGGTAATATCGGGGCTTGAATCGTGAATAGCATCTCAGCCACGTCAACGCCTCAATTGCTCATTTCAGGCAATACGGTGTCCCAGGACTGCGAAATTACTGCGGGCCGTGGGAGAAATGCCATTCTTGAAGAAGCTCCATTTCTAAAGAAGCATTGACAAGGCGGATGATGCCAAATGTGATATGCCCGGTTTGACCAGTCTTTCAATTTGGAGATGGGAGACGAGCTCGAGGACTGTGCGATGGTTGGGCAGAGACGACTGGTAATTGCGGCGGGGCCGTGACTGATACTCGGAGGCTGAGAGCAACGTGAACAGGAAATAATTAAGTGGATTCTGGAAGTCGTGTTTTCGCTTACTGACCCCATGATAAAGCTATCGAGCTAATTACAGCGTCGAGGGCTGGAAGGGCAGAGAGTTCGAGAAAGTTTAGGTGGCGTAGGCCTTAGCGGAGTGTAGGATGGCCTAGTTTGATAGGCGCGGCCGCATCAGGGACGGATCTGGAGGCGACCAGGCGCCGTCTCCGTCAAGCCTGACAGGCCGTTGTCTCTAGGGGGGCCCCTCTTCTCCCCATATTACTGCATTGGCGTCGCTTTTGGTCGAGGCCGAGGCCATGGGACAGAGGCAGGTCGACAGAGTTCGAAGCTGCTCGGGCTAATGACCAACGTCTTTCGTCGGCTGTGGTACCTACCTGTCGGAGGCGGCCAAGCATTCCTTGTCCATTAGGAGTGGTCTGGTGCCGGTCTCGTCTGCTCTGTGGCCTCCGCCCACGATGCACGCAGTACGCAGTAGTGCTCATTTGGAACTCCCACCCGAAGTCAAGTTTCGGGTCCAGGTCGACACGAGGAATATAGGAGAAGGTGAGGCGGAGTTGGTCCCAGTCCAGACCAGGGTGGTATGTTGAATGGATCATGGGCATGGCTGTGGCTTGCGGGTCGGGCTCTGGTGCCCTGGAGCGGGATGTCTCGCCCCAAGGTCGGTTGAGGTGATGATGTCAAGGGACAGACAGACAGACGGACGGACAGACAGACGGACGGACAGACGGACAGACGGATAGACAGACTGCGGCATTCGGAAATGCCATAACAGTGATGCGTACGGGAGCCTTGGCGTTCATTCAGAGTCCTGCCAAAGGTTGTCAGTCAGTCAGGTGCAACGTCGCGGGGCTCTTCCCTGCCGTGCCCTGGCCGGATCGCCTCCCATGCCAAATCATGTGGCCAACAAGCCCAGGTCTCCACGGATGGTGCAGTGGGTATCGAACATTTAGGGTACGAGAAAAAGGCGGGTAGCAGAGCACCAGAATTGGGAGAGAGAAACGAAAGAAATGGGTATCTGGAGATGGTGTCTGGAGACTGGAGATTCGGGGAGAAAGAGAGGGGGGCCGATGATAGGAAGGAGGCGAGACGAGAAAAGACCCCTGCCGCCATGTTCTTTTGAGCCGCGCAGACAGACAGACCCACGGTCGAGGTACAAGGAGCAGCAAGAGGTGGCGGTGGATTTAGGCGAGGGGAGAAGAGGAACGCGGCGGCGGCGACATGTACCTGCAAGGTGCGGCCTTGCCGAATCGCGACTGTGTTTCTCTGTACCTACCTAGGTATCTATCTGGCACTCTTTGTCCGTGTTTCGGCCGCGCGCCGCCCTTTTCTCTCCAGACTCGAGTTACAAAGGGCGGAGAAGAAAGAGCGGAGGGCGGGGAGACAACGGGCTGGTGCGACCTCGGGGGGAGGCGGGAGAGCGCTGGCGAATTCCAATTTTGGACTTTTGAAGGAAGCGTTTCGTTTTTTCCATGTTTTCCTTCAAATATTGTTTTACCCAAGCGATAATGGAGTTGCGAGTGACAAAATAACCTAGGATGACCACGTACGTACCTGCCTTCTTCGAGCTCCAACGTCTTGGCGGCGGATCAAGTCAGGAAAGAGAGAGAGAGACAGAGAGGAGACAAGACTCGGCGAGGCAAGGAGTGAGTGGCATGGCATCATTCATTCCACAGCGTCAATGGCGGTCGTTGCTGCCCTGCGAGCAGCCAGCAGCACAAGCAGTACGCGACACAGTGCTTTGTTTTATCGTGTTGACTGTAAAGGTACGTACCCGTCATCACACTCTCCAACCTGCCTGAACCCCACTACACCCTCGTATCCGCCCTGTTGCGGTTGCCCTCTTTCCTCGCCGCTTGTCCGTCGTCCTGCCCCTACTGCGAATGCTGTTTGTCCTCTACGCTGCTGCTGCTGCTGTTGCCCTGCGTGAGCCTACCTAGTGTGCGCGAGTGATACTCTGCTAGTCCTGCTTTAATCATGTGCGACCTAACTTTATTTACTACATCCTACATATCTACCTAGGTGATGAAAAGCAGAGAGGCGCATTTTGGCGGTTGAGCAAGGGCAGGGGACTAACACAGAGTGTAAAGTATCTATACCGCTCAGTACTTGCCAACCCGCGACTACCCTTACGGCGAGTGCCAAATTAAGCGGCAGCAGCGCGCCTTCCCCGAACATCTCCAAGTACCGGGTACGTACCGAAGCAGGGTACTTTCTCCCACTGTGTTATCGGGTATGGCATTACCTGTTCTCGCTCCTACCTGCTTGCTTGCACTCTTGCTCGGCTCCTTCCTTGCGACTGCTGCTCCCGACTTTCGCTGCATATGTGGTGTGTGTGTGAGTGCGGTTGTGTGTCGCTCGCTGCTTCCACGCTTGTGACCCGTCACCGCCGCCCCTAGCTATTTGTGTCCCCCCCGTCTTTCTCTCGCTCGCAGACAAGAAGAACGTACCTCGCCTCTGATTCTTCGACAAAAACTCACGATCCGTCTGCTTTTCACTTAACCCACCTTATACCCCCTCTCGCTTCTCTCTCCTTTTTCTCAATATATATATATATCTGTTGCGGCGTCGCACGGCCACCACCTACATCTTGCACCAGTGACACTGGCCACGGCAATCTCACCCAACCACAAACCAGCCTCTCCCACCACATCAATTCCCCTCCTCAACCGACACCGGGAGCACTGTCATCCTTTCGTCTGATCACTTCCCCCCTTCGCACTAAAAACAGGCCTCCCCGACGCAATCGCTGTTCACCCCATCCACACATCCCGTCCTGTCTTCTCTCTGCCCTACCATTCCGACCTGTCGTTCGGACCACTGCCTCGATAACCTTCCATTTGCGAGCTCCCTCCAACCACCCGCCGTCCTCCGCCCATGGCTCAATCCAACGAGCCGCGGAGGCGGTTCGCCCCCGTCCCCATCGAGACCACCTTTGAGTCTGTTCGAAAGGGCCCTTTGCAACAGCCGCAGCCGCAGCAGCCACAGCATCAGACCCAGACGCAAAACCAGCACCCAGGCCCGGCTCCTGAGCCTACTCCCGAACATACCCCGCGAACCCCTTCCCCCAATCCCTTCGAGCAGCAAGCGCAACTGCCGCCGCCGCCACAGCAAGCACAGCAACAACTGCCGCAGTTGCACAATATCCAACCATCGCAACCCCCCAGGCGCCGCTTTGCCCCTCAACTCATCGAGAGCTCCAGACGCGCCCGAAGAGTAGGAGACGCCGGCCCCGCCACGCGACCAGCCGACAAAACCGACATCACCCCCTACACGAATCACATCTACCTCCAACGCAACAAGTCGAGGCGTAAGGTCAACGATGGCGCCTCGTCGCCCTTTTCCCAAACAATTCAACGACAGCACAAGGGCGCAAGGAGAGAGTCGGAGGATGAGAATGCCGGCACCTACATGCTGGAATGGGCAGCCCTGGAGGCTGAGAGACAAATGCAGGAGGCTGCCCTCGCAGCCTTTCCCAACAGTCGTCCGCGTGAGGGAGGTGCCGCCCATTTCTACTACAGGGAGAGCTCGGGTGACGACAGCACTCCCGAGAGCGTTTCGCCCAAACCGACTGATTCCGAGACCAAGCCGCGCACCCGTCATGCCCACGGCCCCCGCCGCAAGTCGTCAGAGGTGGGATACTGGCAGAAACACATGCAGAAACATGCCGAGACCCTGGCTGTGGCCAGGGGCGAGCATGCTCCCGTTTTCGACGATGACGACGATGTACACAACGATTCAGAGCTCGACAGGATGGAGCTCGACGGGCCTCCTGATGCCATGTGGTTGACCAACAAGAGAAACCACACCACCGATACCAATCCACCGAAAGGGGCCCTGGAACCGATTGGCGAATCCTTCATGCCACTGATCGCCCCGACCCCGGTCGTCGCCGACGAGGCTCGCCGGCCAGAGCTTCCCCCGCCAGAGTCACTCAGTAAACCAATTGGCGAGACTGCGATGCCTTACATCCCGCCCACTGCGGTTAGCAAGCCGGCCGAGATCCCAATTGCTGCCCCCGCGCAGATCGTCCCCGAGACAGGTTTCAGCAAGGCCGGTGGAGGCGGTTTCGGTAGGCCGTTTGGCAATTTCGGGCTTCCTCCCGAGACCAGCGAGTTCCGCAGGATGCGCAAGGCCGCCTCACCGCCGATGCTGGGCAAGGACCTCGTCTTCCGAAAGTGTCCCTCGCCGAAGCAGACGAAGCTCGAGCCCGACCACCCCTTCTCAGAGGGGCCGACCGCCGAAGAGAGAAACAGGGATAGTACGGGAGAAGCCGGCTTGTGGAGGGGTTACTGCTTCCGAAACAGCGAGAGCGATCAAGCCATTGTACCCTCTCACCTCCACGGGCCTAGAATGCTGCATACGCCACTTCCCCCCACTACGTCCGCCGATCCCTTTGCTGCAGCATTTGCCAAGGGCTCTGTGACGGACGAGCCAGGGTCTCAGTGCTCGCCTGCCACTCTCACCAACGGTCCTGTCGAACACCGTGTCCGATCCGGCGAGGCAAAGGGTCTCCACATGCTCGCTGGTCTTGAAGAACGCCTGAAGCGCGAAAAAGCATTGGAAGAAAAGATCGCCAGCGAGTTCGACGACACCTTTATCACTCAGGTTTACAACTATCTCTCGCTAGGGTACCCCACCATGGCACGTGCGTTCGACGAGGAGCTTTCCAAAATTTCGCACATGAGCATCGAGGAGCTGGAAGTGGACGATGCCAAGCAGATGGCAAGTGGCCACCTGATGCAGCCCGCCGAGGCCGAGATGGCGGAAGAAAATAGATGCCCGAGATGGAGGGCCCTGAAGATGTACATCTTCGAATGGGCGCGGCAACACCCGGACCTAGACAGCCTCGACCCCCTCGCATGGGGTGTGCGAGAAAGACGAGGCAGCTGGGCTATTTGAACGAGTGGTGCAAAAATACAAACGAACACCCTTGTACCATTCAGTTGTTGGATACGCGGAACCATCAGGTTATACAGCACGATTGGACCGAGTAGAAGAAGAGCATATTGGGTGATCTTGCGACACGGGCAGCTCGTTCCGATAAGGCGTTCTGGGTAGTCACTCCGCCTAAGAGAATGACTTTGGGTAGCAACTGGCATAGGTGTTTTTGGTGTTTCGGTACCGGATAAAGATACATGGACGTGAGGGTCTAGAACCAGCTGGCGGGGTCGCATGTTCGCATTCTAGATGAAGCCTGTGGGGTTAAAATAGGCGTCGAGATGTATTCGAGAACAGATGAAATCGGGCCGTAGTGGCACAGTGGGGCGTGCCGAGAAAGCGGTGCACAACTCCAGATGTGGGAATTCCAAAAATATGAAGAACCAGAACGTACACAAGCCCAGCTAGTAAGGGGAGCTGAGGTGTCAGTGAGCAGTGAGCCTTTGGTAGTTGAGAACCCTCCGCACCGATATTCGTTTGATCGTTTGCGTTCGTTCGCTCTTGCGTGCATGTGCGATCACCCCGTAAAAAATACCCCTGCTACAATGGCCAACAGCTGCAAGACATGCAAGGCTTCCGAAAGGGGCAAACCGGTGAAGCCATGCAGGTACTAGACGGCAACCGCAATGCACCAAGAAAGGCCAGAAGTACAAGAGGGGTGTTGGGGGAGGGGGCTCGAATCGGCCTGGGAGGAAGTCGGGAGGTGGAAGAAGAGCCAGCAGGAATACTGTCGCTGTATTGAAAGGCGATGATGTATCAACCTCGCACGGCGGCCCTCGTTCGTTAGTAAATCGTAAAGAGCAGCTAGAGGACCATCCAATACGGTTGAAACTTAAATTCCGACATGCGCAGATGATTCCGCCCACAGCTGGCTTCGCGTCAAAGTCCCGCGCGATCGCCAGACTCCACTCACACTTTGGTATCCTCTTCGGGCATTTAACTCTGTCTCTGACATGGACATGGAGTGGCTTCAGCAACTCCCCTCTCTACTTCACCATCTAATGCACGCTACCCGAAGAGGGCGTAGAGCTGGAATGCATATTTGCAAGCACTACAGCGAGGACGTACATAGTTAGACTTCACAAATAGCCTGGAGAGGGGACAGACGTAGTCACGAGCAAGTAGATTCATGTTCCAGAGATGGGCGCCTCAACGTGTCTTCTACATCAGTTTGTTCAAAACTTCAGCCATTCATCCTCCTCTGCATATCTCCATTGATGAATATAATTGCTCTAGACCCCCCATAAGCGGTCGAGTGCCCGGTAAATATATTGTATAACGATACGCAAAAATCCCAATACGCAGCACCTCTGACCTATGCCACATTTCAATAATCTCTTGTTACGATACAGAAAACCTGATAGCGTAGAGAAACTACACAATCAGACTTCCTCTCAACCATGGCTGCATACGAACAACCTCGACAACGGTGTGGTAGGCGTGGGGCGCCGGAATGTTAGCGACAACCGGCGATGGTGGCTCTATTGAACCTACCCGCGAGGGTCGGGCAGCTCCGCGGCGGACGCGAAGATAGCTTCACTCCCCACCAAGCAACCTTGCTGGACGCAGCAAGGTATACAAAAGGCGGCTGGAACTGGAGCTCTGGTCTCTTTCCTCTCCATCAACCTTAGACAACGTCCCAACTGCCACACACACACATAAACATCAGAATCCCACCGGTCCACTGCCTAATAAACCGCCCGTGGGCCGTGTCGGCTTTCGCTTTCGAGCAGTACTACGAACCGAGGAGGACCAACAGCCCCAGACACAAAAAGAAGAAGAAGAAGAGGAAGAAAAAATGAAACTTGCCGCCCTCTTCGCCCTTGCCCTCGCGGCATACGCCCATGCAAGCGCTCGACACCCGCCCGTGAAGGCCCCGGATGCCATAGTCGTCGGCCCCCCGCGCCCCGGGGCGCCCTACTTCTACCACCCCACCTGCACATGGGAGCACTGGGGCATCTTCGGCGCGTGGATGAACGTCACCGCCGCCGGGGTCGAGGACATCCCGGGCATGTGCGGCAACCTCTGGGCCGCCCTCAACAAGTTCCCCGGCTGCAGGATGCTGACCCACCCGCACTGCGGAGGTACTGACGGCTACATGGAGTGGCGCTTTCACGCGCCCGGCTTCACCTGTGACTTTGGCCTGATCCGCTCGGCCTGGTACGCCGGGACCGGCGGGAACAAGGTCGGCGTCCTGGACTGTAACGGAGCCCAGCCCGAGACGCAACCCGACCCGTCCAAGCCCACCCGGACCAAGAAGGTTTTCTCGACCAAGCCTGCCAAGCCCAAGTTCAAGATTTAAGACGCCCCTTCGGTAACCGAGGAGACTGATCCTCGACGTCGCCGGACATTTGGATGACGGTGTGGTTTTGTTTGACGGCCTATGTCATGTACATTGATTCCTGATAGAAAGAGTGATCTATCAATCGACGATCTAGTTGACGTTCGCAAAGACACCATTCCATTCGAGGGGAGGAAAGGGAATGTCGAAGTAGCCTGGCGAGTGTTATAAACTGGCAGAAGTTCCACAAGTACCGAAAACTACTCGGAAACCACTCCAAAACAAGCGTTAGCATGCAGGTGGAATCCGGGTGGCATCAGGACAAAAACAGCATGCCATTCGATCCGAGAAAGTTCGTTTTGAGACAGAATAGACTGACTATATTTCATCATTGTGTATTTTAACTGGGAGACATCGAATCGGATTATTACGGGGCGCCAAGGATACCCTTGTTGTGTGGCTGAATTGAGCAAAAGTGAGTCGCGATGATTCATTTCTGGCCTGTGCGCTTCTTTCCTCTTTGGGCAATAACAGCTGCTCCACTGCCGGAAGGTGCGATTTATTGAATAACCACTTGCCGAATTGAAGATTGTTCAGTGTTCCCAAAGAGTCAACAATGTCCTCGTCCCACTCTGGTTTTCCTCCAATTCAATAATATCAGGTTCAGGATCCATGGACAGCCATACGACCACCACCATGTCCGCTTTGGAGGCCGAGGAGAAGGGAGGACCGGAAACCGTCTCGGCGTCCGGCCCCACGCCTTCAGCCGACCTCCAACACGACGACAACATGAGCAAATCCACCAAGCTCGATGCCGAACAGATTGATCACGAGCTGACTCTAAGAGATGATACAACAACGTATCCGTCTGGGTTCAAAATGGCCGTTATTATTCTCTCCCTCGTCCTCGCCATCTTCCTCGCTTCCCTCGACATGGTCAGTCCACCCCTGCCCGGTTCCCCAGTTGTGTACAAGTGTACTCGCTGGCGAAGATATGAAGAGATGAAGAAAATATGAAAATGGCCCCTTCTAACGCGATTCCTCACCACAGACAATCGTCGCAACAGCCATTCCCAAAATCACCGACGAATTCAAAGGCCTCTCCGACGTCTCTTGGTACGGCTCCGCCTTCTTCCTTACCAATGTCGGTTTCCAACCCTCCTGGGGCAAGGCCTACGAGTAATTCCCCCCCAAGCCCACTTTCCTCGCTGCCCTCTTCGTCTTCGAGCTGGGGAGCCTCGTCTGCGGCGCGGCGCCCACCTCCACCGCCCTGATCATCGGCCGCGCCATCACCGGCGTCGGCGCCGCCGGCTTGGGCACCGGGACTTACACCATCATCGCCTTTGTTGCGCCGCCGCGCCAGAGGTCCATGTACCTCGGCATAGTTGGCGTTGCTTACGGTATTGCGTCCGGCGTTGTGCCCCTGCTGGGGGGTGTCTTCGCCGGCAGGGTATCCTGGCGCTGATGCTTTTACATCAACCTGCCCATCGGCGGGCTGTCGGCCCTCATGGTCTTCTTTTCCTTCCAGGCGCCGGATGCCGCGAAACCAACGGCCGCGTCATGGAGGGAGAAGCTTCTTCAGATGGATCTCCTTGGCGTTGCCATGATCATGAGCGCGCTCCTTTCGTACGTCTTGGCCCTCCAACACGCTGGTGTCAGCGCGGCGTGGAATAGCAGCGTTGTCGATGGTCTACTGATAGGTTTCATCTTGATGTTGGTAGCCTTTGGCATCTGGGAGTACTTTCAAGGCAAACGCGCCATGATTGTGCCCCGGCTATTTACCCAGCGTCCCATCGGAACGGCCTGCCTCTTCACGCTCTTCTTCAGCGGATCGTGCTTCCTGGTCATCTACTACCTCCCTATTTACTTCCAGAGTGTCTTCAATGTCAGCCCTACCATGTCGGGGGTCAACAACCTGCCCCTCATTATTTCTATTTCCATTGCCATGATCTCGTCTGGGGCTTTCGTCAGCGCCGCTGGCCTCGCCGCTCCGGTCATGCTCGCGAGCGTCGCTATCGCCACGATCGCTTCCGGATTGCTCTACACCCTCAATGTCGATACAAGCACGGGCAGGTGGATCGGTTACCAGATCCTCGGGGGCGTTGCCTAGGGCATGGCACTATATTCCACGGATCCTGTGTTCAAAGCTCTCTTGAGGCCCACCCAGTGACGCTCCTTTAAGGGTGAGGCACAAGAAAGCAAGGTGAGCGAAGCCGAAATTGTTGGTGGTGTAGAGATCGAGGATTCTACTAAGTGGTAGGTAGGTAGTATTGGTGGTAGGTAGGTAGGTATGTAGCTTTTTGGATGGGATGGGACGGACGGCGCGGCGCGGCCAAAACCTCGGACGCAAGGGCGTGACGGAAGAGGAGGAGGCTCTTTTGTGAGCGACGGACAATGTAGATGAAGGGAAGAAAAATAAGAAGAAAGAAAGGAGGAAAAAGAAAGAGGGAGTGAATGCCAGGAATCGAGACTTGCTTGTTGCACTAGAAGAAAGGAGGGCTAAATCCCATTATTGCTGACTGAAGCGGCCAGAACCGAGCAGGAATCAATCGATCAATTAATCAATCAAACCATCATTGCGTGCTCCTGCAAAAAACATCATCGACATGCTTCAGACCGAATCATCCCTCACGCGCATCAAATACCAGACATTCGGAACATTGCGATTGAAGTCCTTAGTCCTCATCAGAATTCGAGCTCCTTCCCAATGCGTCAAACGAATGATGGAAACCGAACCGATTAACGCCGGGCGCCTGGCGCGCGCGCTGACCCTCTTGGTGGTATGGATCAAGACGAATCAATATTTTCGGTGTCTCTGGAAGTCTCAGACTGGTCTCCTCTCTGTTTCCGGGCTCTGTATAAAGGTCAAACCGTACGCGAACCCGGCAGAGGCACACACTATGCAGTTCATCGCCCGGCGGACCTCTATTCCAGTCCCCAAAGTGCACTGTGCCTTTGTCCACCAGAGTGCCACATACATTGTCATGAGCAAGATCGACGGGCAAATGGCATGGCTGCACTGGAAGGGGCGTTCGGAAGCATCCCAACGCCGGATTCTCGATCAGCTACATAGCATGGTTTCCCAACTGCGCGCTATCGCCCCAACAGAAGGCATCGGAATTGCCAATGTCGATGGCGGCCCTATTTACGACTGTCGCTTGCCTTCGAAATCGTTTTGGGGTCCCTTTGCTACGGTACGGGACTTTCATACGGAGCTTGTTAATGGTGCCAATCTTGAAGTTCGCTATGAGAATCAACCTCCAGACCTGGATGAACTCTTTGATTTCTATCGTCAAGCGAACAACAAAACAGTCTTGACACATGGCGACTTAAGCAGCTTCAATGTTCTAAAACGGGGAGATGAAGTCGTTGGCATCGTTGATTGGGAAACGGCAGGCTGGATGCCCTCATACTGGGAGTACACGTCTGCATGGTTTGTGAATCCCCAAAACCCGTTTTGGCAGCAAGAGGTAGACAAGTTTCTATCGCCTATGCCGTATGAGCTGAGGATGGAAAACATACGTCGCAGATATTTCAGCGCAACCTGAGCTAAATCAAAACTATGTCCTGGCGAGCTCCTAACACATGTCTTCCTTTGTCATCGCATCCATAGTTGTGGTGACAGCTCTTTGCCATCCAGCATGTCCCAGGTTGGCGCCTTAGTGCATGCATCACTGGTTTAGCTGGTTGAAGCGGTTCGGGCGTCGGCGGCATAGGACGGACTAGGGCCTGGTGAAAAGTACTGCGAATGTAAGCTATACCCAAAATAGTAGGGGGGTGAGCATTGGATACCTGGCAGGGATATTTTACTTCGGCCAGGTACCACCGTACGAACACAGTGCAGAAGCAAGTTCTGGCTCTGGCGACGGAGATCAGTAAGGGATGTTCTGTTTAGGTTCCATGATGTATCCTATGAGCAAGTGGATCTATAAATACCTGTGCGCGGAAGAACTTCTGTCCCTAGAACGTGGAGACTGATTCTGATTTCTACTATACAAACTTGTTACTCTACAAATTCTCTTTCTTCTTCTTTTTGGGCATACATCTCTGCTGCCTTATTCGCTTACACTGCTATAGTAAACTCTTTCTATGTTGCTTCTTTGGCGGATTCTGAGGGAGAGTAGCTGTTTGAAACGTGAAAATTTAGGAAACTACTTAAATAAGCACCTAGAACCCGTGGTTGGGCCGTATTTTGTATGTATGTAGGGGTCTTACTAATTTACACTATAGGACGTAAGTAAAACTAGAAGTTTCACAGATGGGTTTGTAGGTGGAAACACCCCAACCGTTTCTCTTTTATCTTTTGGCGTTCTTATCTTCTGACAAAAAACAAAGTCAGGCTGGGGTGGCCCGCCGCTCAGGCTGGTTGGAGTATTATAAGTACGTCAAGTTTCCCGCGGCGAGGAGACTGCCCCAAAGCGTGGGGGAACAGTGTGCAACTCCGTTGGCCAACACTATCATCCGTGTATTCCCTGGCCTCGTTCTCTTATTGAAGAAATTGCTGCTTTCGGCTGCGACCCCGACGACGTGATCATCATGGAATCATCTGCCGCGGCACACGGAGTACACTCAAGTCCATGCTACCAAGTGATACCGAGTTCTTACAGATTCTAGATTGGACATCACATCATGGACACCAACCAAAAGAAGAGGCTCTTTAACAAGGCAATCATGGACTCTGGAGGACACACTGCACGAGTCGTGCATCCGCCGGGCCTGCGCTCAACGAACAGCACTTTCATGAGTTCCTTTAGCTGACTCGTTGCGGTAAACGCCCTGAACATCGCATCTTATCCTGTCTCCGGGCACTTCCCTCTTCCACCATTGTTGAATCCAGCCGGAAGGTGTGTGAGAAGCCCAATCCTTCCGTTCTTTGGGCGTGACAACCCGTTCTTGACGACGAAATCATCTCAAGACGGCCTGTCGACGCATAGAATTCGAACAAGTGGAACAAGATTCCATTATCCCCGGCTCGACTCATAATGAAGGAGCTATGTATGTTCTCATGACTGCATCTACACCCATTTACTATACGTATTTCTTCCACACTATATTGCCGCAGCTACCTAGGACGGTTATTGACGAGCTGGAAACCCTTTATCCTGACCCTTCAATGGACCCAGACTGAGTATGCGGATAGTCGACCTCTCGATATTGGTTCAGTATAAGCAAGCAGAAGCCGCCTGTGGTCACTACTCTTACGCTTCTCCGGTACGCCAGGCCACAACCTTGACAACCGTCCTAAATGGCTGCCTTTTGCAGGCAAGGGTGATAAGGGGGCGGGGACGACAATACTTCTTGGCGAGGGCAACAATGAAAGAGCCGGAGGCTCTAGTTCAGGGGACAGCAGCTCGGTTTACGGACTACAGATGGACGGAGAAGGAATGCGAGTTCTGGTGGGAAGAAGCCGAAAACTTTGAGAATTGAAAGGCCGTGGCATTGAAACAAGCAAACAATTTCGGGGTTTTTTTTTTTTTTTAATAATGCTGGATTGGCTTGGCAGTGCTGTCTTGAGACTTTGAGCTTTTTCTTTCTCACACGCATCTTAGAATATTGGCATAGAGCATACATGATCCCGCTCTAGGCCTTGGCACATAAAGCATTCATCATCATAAAAAATTAACATATATAATACATGGCCACATGAAACGTCTTCCGCTTTCATCAAAACATGTCCCAGAGATTGGGGAAGAGTTCATCAATGATGGGAACCTCCGACGACATCATCAACTGCTGGAACTCGGGCACAGTCGCAGACGGGCTGTCGGCAGTCAACAGCCTTTCAACAACCTCTGCATACTGAGCCAAACAGATATCGCCCAGATCCCATCCCGAGTTCTGCTGGTGAGATTGTAAGGCGTCCACTAGGTTCTTTGCCAACTTGAGTGATGCGCTCTGAGCCAAGCCGCCCGCCGTGTTCTCCGTCTCAAGCGCACAGCGCAGCAGAAAAGTGATGGCTGATGTGAATGTGAAGGCACTGACCGGTAGCCAGAAGTCGCTTAGATGGTCCTCTTCCAGTTCCTGCGCGAGGAGGACGATTTCCTCGGCCGCCCGCCGGACCTGAATGTACCGGTTCGTCAGTGCGTCGCCGGGCGCCGCGTCTTCTTGCTTTTCGAGATCGAGCTCGATCCTCCTGCGCAGCAGCTTAGTCGAGAGGTACGCCAGCCGCAGATTTGCGGCGCCGGGGATGTGCAGATTGCTCCCACGGGTGATGATCCTTCTGATGTCGTCGCTCAAGGAGTCCTCCCACTGCCCAAGACTGAGCTCCAGGTCGAGAGAAGTCTGCCCGCTATTCTGGTCACGTTCAGGGTTCAGGTCGTAGACGTGGTCCAGGAACTTGTCGAGAACACCTGTCAGCGTGACAAGGGCCATGAACACCGATGCGGCTTGAATTTGATCGTTTGTAGCATCTTTCGCAGTGAGATACTCCAACGAGGGATCTGGAACGTCGTACTGGTATCTTTTGATTTGTGGAGGGGTGCCGTATGCCAGACTCAGCCTGATCATCCTGTCAGTCACGTTTCTTCGGGGAAACTACCGATCTACCTCACCATTTGTCATGAACCACTAGTGCCCACCAAATCTTCATCCGTAGACACTTCTCTGGCATAGAGATATTCCAATCTACAGGGTCCCGGTTTAGACCCAGTGATTGTGCGAGCGACACGGCAGACCCTAACTGAATCTCGTTCATGATCATTGAAGTTGTTGGTCTGCCACCCACGTTGAGGATGATTGCGATGATGGTAGATATTCCAGGCGAGATGTGGAGTTCCGTGAACAGGGTTTCCGTTGCTTGGTTCCATATAAAACGAGAGTCGGGGAAATATTGCATGGGCAAGTCCGGACAGTTCTTCCAAAAGACCATAGAGTGCGCATACAAGACAGACAGCAGTGCTGGGGATATTCTGTCTCTTGCGGTATTGAACTGGTGTTTGAATGAGACCTCATCCAGGAGAGGAAAGCAGATGTTGACTTTCTGAAAATATCTATGTATGTTCAGGTCAGTCACGGCTTAATGATGACATCTAAGCTTAGGCCATGCACCATGTCACTTCAGCCGACAATGAAGAGCAGAACACAGGCTTACGTGGGTGAAATAAAATAAAATAAAAACAGGGTTATGAACTTACAAGTCTATCAACGAGGATATCCATGGCTCCAACATCTTTTCCACGAGCTGGTACTTCTGCAACGGCGCTGTTTGTCTCGGCGATAGACCATATGGACGTTTCCGAACCGCTGTGAAGATAACCGGCTTCCTGTTGCCACCCGCCGTTGTGGAACGGGGCGTCTGCCCCATCTGAGCGCCTGGTCTAGGCTTGACCACCCGGATCATCCGCTCGTGGATACTGGGCTCGGAGCTGAGGTAGTCTGCCAACACCTGCGTGTCGTTCGTGACCGCCGGGCCAATAATGTGAGAGTTATCCTCGTCCTCGGGACTATCGAGCGCCAGCATCAGGTGAGTGCTGTGCGCATCGAGCAGAGCTTTAGGGCCCGAGCTGGATGCAGTGCTCGTTGACGGGGACGAGGATGAGGTCCTTATGCTGCTCTGGGGTGCCTGCACCTTGACCGGGGCAGGCGGTTCACGTCGATATGGCGTGCTGGCCTGAGGGGTCCGGTAGGATTTCTGGACTTTTCCGGGGTTGAGCGGTGCGCGGCCGGCGCTTCGCGGAGAGGGTGGGAACTCGCAATCCGTGCCGTAGACATGGCACATCTGACATGTTGGAGAGGCGATTCCTTCTTGCTGCTGGCATCTGGACTTGCGCCTCCTACATTGCAAGCACGCCGGGCGAAGATGAGATCTGTATGGCCGGGGCGTGGGTTGATCTGTTACCACCGGCATGGCTGCGTTTTTTTCTTCTTCTTCTTCTTTTTTCTTCTTTTTCGGATTTGGCGTTTGACTGCCTGTGACGTTGGCTCTCGTAGTTACCCAGTCCGTTCATCGGCTGATGACTCGGGGAAGTTGAACGGGCGTTGACTTCTGATATTTCCCCGCGGAAAGGTCCACAACCACTATCATGGCTAACTCCTGATCAAAGGACGCTAGCAATGGTAATCTGTTAGTCAACGCGCATGCTGATAAGGCGGAGGTTCGCCGACGCAGCTCCACTCAACAGTCACACCCACTTCGGCGTTCAATTCTATTTCCCGAATTCATTGGCTTTCCCGACGTCGCAGGGAGCTTATCCGTACTGTGCCCACGGCAACTCCACTCGTTCTCCACGGCATTCAAGCCAACGTTGCCTGTGCCCCCCATTGTGGCGCGGGGAAGCAACCTTAATCCTGGGAATCTTATCGGTTTGTTGACGGGGATTATCTGATATGTTATCTAGCCTACTACTATATCGTCGGAAGTAGCCCGCTATCAAACAAAAGCGACGTTGCCATTAGTGCCATCAGCCTATCTGATTTAGGAGCCCAGAGCAATGTCTTCGGTAACGCCACAGCCAATATCGGATAGATTTTACCCTCCTCAACGGCGATGAATAGTGAGGCATCTGCGACCTGTGCTTCCTGCGTCGAAAAAGTTGAGACAACTCGTCCTTCCCAAGCCCGTACATGTAACATCGTCACCTGTTCTCGTTCAGGTCAACGTAGCTTAACACAAAACCCTCATGCAATAATATGGAAAACTTCTTGATCGCATTGATTGTGTCCATTTCGTCCAACGTAGACTCAATCCTTGTTACTAGCTACCAACAACTTCGCCTTGTCCACTTCCCGTACTCCACAATGACCGCGGAAGCGTCTCTTAACGCAGGGCAACCCAAGCCCAAGGACCTGGAAATTGCGGAGAAGCACCTTCCCGCCCCGGCAGTGCTGACGAAGGTCTCAAGGTTAGTCAGTCGAGCGCCTTGGCGAGGCTGATATCTTCTTGCAACAAAACGGGATTTACCATGCTCAGTTGCGCGAGCTTCCCGAAGCTTAGAAGGCGCAGAAGAAATTGATTCCCAAGGTAGGGCCACAGTGACATAATTGACAGCTCTGTATCTACTACATCGTGGAAAACCCCTGTTAGCATGGTTGTACCCCATAAGTACTAACATCTAACCACCCACCACAGGGTTTCTCGTTTGCCGGTGCCCTTGCCGTCGCCTTGCAGATGCCAGCTGCCAATGTCGCGGGCACACCGAGCGCCTTACCTCAACTGCATTTGTCTTGTGTGTTGTGTCAATAACATTATTGGACCTCAAGCCTTCCTTGCGTTGGAAGCGCATTTTTACGGAATCGGTTGTGAAGTCATTGTGGGCTGTACCTTCGGCTAAGTCGTTTTGGCAATTACCCTCAGAGTTATTCTGAAGCGGAGAAACAAGAAAAGCGACGTGGGGGCTGAGGCTGCTAGTCAATTACAACGACGTAAATGAAGATGACGAAGTTTTGATGGACTTGACGGACTTTGTGAACAGGAAGTTCGGGTATTCCTACTAGGCGCAAATTTGGCTGATAATAGTCTGATGGTGTTACGAGAGAACCTTTTGTCTTCAGTGTTGTTTCTAATGAGCTTGGATTGGGGTCATGTGACATGCATCGTCGGAGGAATGCAAGAGATAGTCTCTTCAGGGCTAAGTGCGTGATGTATGATGCAGTTCTAAGATCTAATAGTATCTACAAGAGAACCATTCCAAGTTCGACTGCACTCGAAACAGCAATCACTGAAATACCAAGCCGACTATTCCTGGTAAGTCAAAGCACCTGCTTTCCGATCACCCCCGCTTGGCGATCACCTATTCCCCACCAAAATACACTAAAATACACCAAAACTACTCCTTTTTACTATAGCTATAATAGTATAACCCTAGCTTCTTTAATTCTATAAAATTTTCTATAGTTAGTTATATACTTACTTTTACTATACTAGGTTTTTTACTATATTCCTATTAGTATAACTTAAGATATAGGGCTTTATATAAAGATATACTAAAATACTAGTAAATTATTATTAGCTATAACTTAGTATTTACTAGTAGTATAAGCTTAAAACTTTATAAATAGCTATATTATTTACTATATTAAGTAGTTATATTTTCTATATAATATATATAGTCTTATATAAGCTTATATAAGTAAATTAAAATTTCTCTAATAAAACTTTCTTAGTAAATTTTATATTTAAGTATATACTATAGTATAGCTAGTATAGTCTATAGTATAAGCTAGTAAATATATACTTTATATTATAAAGTAACTATATAAAGTATTATAGGTTTTTTTACTTTATAGTTCTAAAGTTATATAGATTTTAATACTATTAAAAAATACTAGTAAAATATACTAAAACCTTAACACTTTTACTACTTTAGCTTTAAGTAGCTAATACTTTACCTATACTTAGTAAAAAAATTATATAACTAGTATATAAACTTTTTATATAATTATTTATATATAATAATTTTCTTAGAATTATTAAGACTAGGGTTATATAGTTAAAGCTGTAGTGAAAAAGAGCAGTTTTGGTGTAAATAGGTGATTGCAAAGTGGGGGTGATCGGAAAGCGGGTGCTTTGACTTACTATAGCTTTGCAACGCCAAACCCGTTTTGTTTAGCGCGTCCAAGTAATCCTCTGGAGATGTCCTTCAGCTTCGCCACGCCCATTAACGCCATTGCTCTTGCCAGCTCCCTTTCTAGAATGTTCAACACTCCCTCAACGCCCCTCTGTCCATCCCATGCGAGTCCCCATAAGGCTGTTCTTCCAATAAGACACAGATCAGCACCCAGTGCGAGAGCCTTGAAGACATCGGTTCCACGGGTGATGCCTCCATCAACAATGACTGGGATCCTCCCCCTCACGACTTCCGTTATTTCGGGCAACGCCTCGATGGTTGACGGGACACCATCAAGTTGGCGTCCCCCATGGTTAGACACGATTATGGCGTCCACACCAGCGTCGATGGACCTTTGGGCATCTTCTGCCGTCAAGATTCCTTTCAGGATGATCTTCATCTTGGTCTGCGATCGAAGCCAAGGGATGACTTCATTCCACTCAAGGCTTGAGTTGACAAGACGGTCTCGGTTCTCGTCTTGGATTTTGTTGTACTCTGCCGCCGTCTTCGCTCGCAGGAGGAGACCCTCTGTGGAAATGGCGCCAAACTCGGCGTTTGCCATGGCGATTCCTGGAGGAAGCTCCAGCGGCGTCCTCCGCTCCTGGAGACGGTTGCCCAAGATAACGGTATCGACGGTCAGCACTAGTGCTTCATAGCCGGCGTTGTCGACTCGTCGGATCAATTGCGCCGTGAGATCTCGGTTTCCGAGGAAGTAGAGCTGGAACCATGGTCGGGGGTACTCGGGACCGCGTTGAGGGATTGCCTTCTCGACGTCCTCAAGAGATGTTGTTGCGTTGCTGGAGAGTGTGAGGTTGGTTCCGAGGTTGGAGACGGCGCGGGCAACGTCGAGTTCACCATCACCGCCGGCGAGCTTCTGGTAAGCAGTTGGGGCAATTGCGATCGGAATGTCATAACGCTTTCCAAAGATTCTAGTAGTAGTATCGATGCTGCTTACATTGCGAAGCATTTGAGGTCGGAGAAGAATACTAGACGAAAACAGACTGTTTAGCATGCCGACTAACAATTGAGTTTGGAACTGGCTCACTCGTTGTAGGCTGCGTGGTTGCGTTCGAGCGTGAGCTCATCGTCGGCACCGGTTCGATAGTAGTCCCACGCTGGCGTGGCGAGCTTCTTTCTCGCGATTTCATAGACATCGGCGATGTTCACCGGTTCATGATGGGCTTCTGTAACGGCAGTCATGGTTCTTACTGTTTGAAGGACCGCAGATTTTCGATATCAAGATTTTGGGCAAGACCGTTGAGGTCGGAAGTTTGGTCGAATGGAGAAAAACCGGGGATTTGTGTACTCGACCGAACTGGTCGTCCGATCTCGGGGGTTGCGATGCTCCGTATCCGCTCTGGTCTCGCGAGCCGCCACGATCGCCCAAAGCCGAAGCCGGACTCTGTTCCGTAAGACTGAACTCTAAGAGTCCCAATTGAAAGGAATATGTCTTTGGCGCGTTATTATCGGAGCTTTATTGAGCGTTAATCAAAATTCAGATGTACCCCACAATTGGCATATTTCAAATTCGCATTACTGGCATCTCCTCTGGGGTCCAATATTTCTTCATATTTTCCGCTCCCAACATCTCGACTTCTTGATCAAGACGCAAAAGGAGCACATCTCCCCTCGAATCCATTTTGCTCTTGAGAGTTTGCAGCTCCAACTCACTCTTGCGCGTCCGACAATTCTCTAGGTACCGCTGGAATACTTCAAGCCCGCCGTGTATTTGGCGGTGCTGTTCCACTAATACTGCGTCGTCTACCCGAAAGTGCGGCATTTTGAGAGCAAGAAGAGGGAATAAAGAGCTTTCTTCGAGATTGTGATGATTGGTTAGACGATAAGAGAGGAATAACCCTTCTCTGATGATCTGGTCGTCGGTCATTTTCGCCGTGCTATCAGGCGCGGTGCATGCATAGTAGAGGCGCTTCCAGGTTCTTCGAAAATAGCCATGCTAGGATGCAATTTAGAAACGGACCAGGAATGTCATTGGCCTTGATTCACAAGCATCGTGTAATGACAAACTTCTACATCATTACGGCAAGGCGGTTGTAGGTGTCGAACTCTGACAGCGTCATTGGCATCGCGCAATCTCCACTAACGCCTGCAGCGGCCGCACTAGGGTCTTTGTTTCCCATGGTTGTTGAGAAACAGCTTGAATCAAGTCCAATACAACACTATGGTATTCGAGGGCGATTGATGACTGCAGAGAAATGTAAGTTGAAAGTTGTCCGCGTTTCTAGTGGTTCATACTACTTAGCTAAGTAGGTAATCGATTGCCCAATTGGTGGCTGACGTTACAGTCTGTTGCGTTGGCAGCGTCCAAAACCTACTTTTTAGTCTGTGCGTTAGTAACACTATTATAATAACTACCCTAGTTAGGGTTACACAGGGGGGTTACCCTGCCAAGTGGCTATATACTTTTAAATTATTTTATATTATATAAATACTATAGTATAAATAGCTTTAATTAATAAGCTTATTACTATTACTATTTAATAATAGCGCTAAAGAAGAAGAAGAATACTACCCCTAGTAGTATAGAGGTATTACTAGTGCTACTAGCTAATAGTACTTAAGCCTATAAGGTTACCTATAAAAGATTATTATTATATATAGTTATTAAGTGCCTTATAGTAGTAGTAATAAAGTTAATAATAGTTATTAAGACACTATAAAAGCTAATAGTTACTATAGTAATAGTAAAAAAATTAATAATAACCTTTAAGATACTAAAGAAGTTAATAAAAGTAACTATTAATAAAGAAAAAGTTAATAATAATAATAATAATAATAATAATAATAGTAATAGTAGTAAGCTTATTAATAATAATAAAAAGCCTATATAATAAGTACTTTTTACTTTTAACTTCTTTAAAACACTATTATAAACTTTATTACTATTATAGTAGTAATAAAAGGTAGCTACTACTATAGCTACCTTTTTATTACTACTACTACTAACTAAGGTAATAATCTATTTTATTTTTAGCCTTTAGTTTAATAGTATTATAGTACTATAAGTCTAGCTTTTTTAAATAGTATAGTAGTTAATAAGTTAAGTATTAGTAAGTATAATAATTAAGTTAAAGTAAAAAAAGTAAATCTTAAAAAAGATAAAAAAGTACTTTTAAAAGTAACTTAGTAAGTAATACTTATTATTAAAGTTATAGATAACTATTAAGTTTAATAAAAAAAAGAAAACTATAAAAGTAAAAAATAATACTTACTATAGTAATAACTTTAGTAAAGTAGGTAGTAAGTAATTAGCCTTACTATAGGCTAAACTTAGCTTTTAACTAAGTAACCTAGGCTACTAGACTTAAGATATTTTCTTTAGTATAAAGCTTATATACTCTACTAGTTTATCTATATTAGTATTTAGTATACTATAATTAGTTATAAAGTTAATAAGTAAGTAACCTAACTATAGTAAGCACTTTAACTATAGTAAGTACTTTAACTATAGTAAGTATTCTAACTATAGTAAGTAACCTAACTATAGTAAGTAACTTAACTATAGTAACTAGCTATTATATATAAAATTAATAAAAAAAATAGTAATAAGTTTAATAAAAGATAAAATTAACTAAAAAAAAGATATAAAGAAAAACCTATAGTAAGATCTAATAAAGTATTATTAGTATATAAATTAAGTAAGTTACTATAATAGTAATAAAGTAAGTAATAATACTAACTAGTGTTTAATTATTAATAAAGTTTACTATAAGTTACTTACTAGTAACCTTAAAAGTTAATAAAATATAATACTTTACTATAAAATAACTTTAAAAACTTTACTACTAGGCCTAGTAGTTATAGTTACTTAGTAGTAAGTAAAAAACAAAATACCTATATAAAGTAAAATTATAAGTAATTTACCCTCTATAGTAGTAATTAAAGAAAGTAAAAATTCTACTAGTAGACCTTTACTACTTACTATAAATAACTTTACTAGTAATATAGTAGTTAATTTATTTTTTAGTAGTAAAAAAGTTAACTTATATACTTAGTAGTAGTATTAACTACTTTTTTACTAGTAGCTATCTTTAATTTAACTTTATTATTATTTACTTATTACTTTATTAGTTACTTTATTACTAGTACTATAAACTCTTTATATAGTAAAAGAAGTTAAAGTACTATTATTATTACCTTTATAACCTAGAGAGTAATTACTTATAGTATAGTTACTAAAGTTAAAAGATTTTACTAGCTAGTTTCTTAAAGTTAAAAGGTAATAATAAGGCTATAAAAGTAGTACTAATTATTATAGGCTAAAGCTATAGTAAGTGTAGTAAGGCTTTACCTACTATAACGTATAAGCTAGTAAGGTAGATATACTTAGTTAACGCTTAGTTAGTACCCTTATTTAACCTTATATATATAATATATATACTACTATAAATAACCTTTCCTCCTTAGTCTAGATTAATTATATTAAGTTACTATACACCTATTAAAAGGTAGTACTAACCCTTTATATATCTAGACTTACTAACTAACTAAATAAGTAAGCTAAGTAATATGCCTACGCTAGTATAAAAGAAGGTAGCTTTTATATATAAGGCCTTACTTAAAATATATAACGCTATCCTAAGCCTTTAAGCTAATATAATAGCTATTAAATAAAGTACTATAACACTAGTAAAAAAAAGTGTAGTAACTACACAAGAGTATACTAAACCTACACCTATAGACGCTAGGCCTATGTAAACACCTACTAAA